GCCATGTGAAGGAGGCGCCCTTATCTGCACTTAATATGCTATTTGTGCCCAGTGGCCCTCAAAAAAAAAATTATGCCCCGGGGCGCTGAAATGTTTGACACGGATATTATACAGTAATAATTAGTAAATTAACATTTATATGTAAACCATATGATAAATTACTGTCAAAAAGAGTGGATCATTTATTTCTATAAAATATTTTATGATGTAAATATGCAGTAAAATCCATATTTGTATGATTTTTGATTGACCAACGTTTAAAATTTTGTTTTGTTGACTGCTATTCATTAACTTTTTAACTATAGTCGCCATCAACTAGTTTTGTAAAGGAATGTTATTTAAGCGGCAATAAAATAAATAACCGCACATGAATTACGTTTAATCTAATTTATTTTTAATTATTTTCATTACTATTACTTTAATATACACTCATGAAACACGTACAATGTTCTACAATGTACAGCTCATAAAATAATCGTATGTACGGTCTTACGGTTTGATGGTACGTGGCGGCACGTGGTAGGAGTTATCCGCACACCGGCCGGGCAGAGCTGGTCACATTCTATTTTCCCGACCGTGCCCGGGGAGTGGGGATCGTGTCTGTTTTTCCGGCGGTCTCTATGTAACCGGTTTTCCCGTAGGATTTCCACCGAGCCGTGATCGTCTAGTGGTTAGGACCTTGCGTTGTGGCCGCAATAACCCAGGTTCGAATCCTGGTCACGGCACAGAAAATTTTTTTGCGGAATACAGCCGCGAACGAAACGCAAAAGGAGAACGGCTGCACGGTCGGATCACGGGGGGAAGTGCGTGAGATTTTCCGCGCGAACGTAGCCGGGAAAAACGTCCGAGTAGAATGGGCTAGAGCCGACGGCGACGGTACCGACCGAGACACCGGTCTTTGCCCGCCACCGGTGTGTTTCTGTGCGTTCCTACCCGTTCGCCTGGTTTGCGTTCGTACCATTGTATGATAAAAACAATACATATTTTCGTGTACTATAAATCCATATTTTTTTTTTAAATTATTACGGGTCGCTACCGGTCGTCTCGATACATCCGTCCAAACGATTTGCTCCAGATAGTATAATTATTTTTAAAAACATCAACATCAGGTGGCTAGTTAAGCGGGGTTAAGGGAATCTACTTCATTACTTCAACGTGTTTTAAGAGAGTTTTCCGATCTTGAATTTTTGTTACGAATGATACTACTTATGCATTTTGCATATTTCATCATCCAAAGGAGCACAATATTACAAAAATGATCGAATCTGTTATAGAAAGACGGTACGTCGTTATTGGTACGGAGTAGGTACCAGTTATTTACCACTTTCTATCGCCGTACAATAAAATTCATAATCGAGCAATAAGCATCAAATTAAGTTGCCATAATGTTAATTCGTCACACAGGATGACATCCATGCATTACCTTATGGACAATAAGCAATCATTGGTACGGACAGACATTTGAATTTCAGTTAATGTACACGTTTAGTGTCTCAGCACGTAAACCATCGGAAGGCGCGGCGCGGCAGATGTATTAAAGCTTTTTCGTGTCGCCCGCACCGTAACGAAAATAACTTCAATCACTATTTTTGAAAATATTTTTGATAATAATTATAAATAGGTACCATGAATAACTCTGAGATACATATACACAAAATACTTGAAACAACGGCGCAGGGGTAAAATATCGATTCCCATGGTAATATACAAACGTGTTATAACTTCTATAAATAATGCCTTTAAAATGTAAAATCATTACTCTATAGATTTTAAACGAGCTTAACCGGGACTAAGCCATCCAGACAAAACTGAAATGATTATAGTTGAAATTAAGAATTTTTCATAAAATATTGTACGAGTAGTCGGATCGAACCAATCCTTTACCTATTTTTATACGATAAGACCGGACCGGACTAGACCGTGGTCCAGTCTGGTCTTGACTGAACTGATGTACACCTATACAGCACTATAATATACCAATGTGCGTATGTATAAGAGCGTGAGCCAGTTTTAAATTTAAAATGTTGTGGTTGAAAACATATTTTACCAGTGTTAAAAATAATTAATACCAGACTAGGAAGTAAAATGATTTTTGACCGTGGAAAAAGTAAGTATAAGCGTAAAAATAATTTCTAGCGCGACCAGAGCATTGAGACACCTAACCTTTTGATGCACGTATTATTTTTAAATTGTAATAATGCATAGCGTGTGTAATGAGTATTTAATATTTAAATTATGATATTGAACATTATAATACACAATATTTATTACTACAAATCCACAGTCTTATGTTCATGTTGATTAAAAAACGCCTTAAAGCAAAACGTTACCGTAATATTATTATAACATTGTGCTAATAAAACATCGGTATAAAAAAAAAAAAAAGAATTTTATTTATTAAAGATAATTTATCACGGACATTTTATGTATTTAAACTCGAAAAAATTTACATAAAATAAAAAAAACGCATACAGGTATCAGATTACCGATACTTATGTGTGTGTAAAGTTAAGACAAGTAACACCTAAGTACCTATGCTATAAATTTTATAGATAGGCTTGTTAAGCGGTTTTTACTTATATTTTCATACATGTTCACAAATGTATTCGTACTGGAATACCGGTTTTTTTTTTGATTTATACAACACTGCCGTACGTACATATTTACAGATATTTTTAGGATTTATTAATTCAATAGTAAAGATAATACTTCATTGAGTTGGTGTTGTAGGAAACAATCGGTTTATACCTAGTAGGTATTATTTACTTAATAATAAAATATGCTGGCTATAATCACAGGAACGTTTCAGGGGAGGGGTGCTAGACAAAACAAACTACCCGGTGAAATCTAATTGTTAAATAATATCAATCGCCCCAGAAAAAATGTATTTCATGTTTTCATAATTTCATAAAACCATTTAAAAATGCTCGAAAATGATCAGTACTTTTTATAAATTGGTTTTAACTTTATAACGTGTATTAAAAAAAAAAAAAATTCTTTGCATTTTAACGATTCACATTATAAATTGTTAAATGCATTTAATGCACCCCTAGCGGAACCAGTATTCAACCGAGGAGTGACAAGGAAACACAAATATAGGGTTCTCATTGTTATTTTTTTTTAAATAAATTCACAACTCACTAAGTAATTTTTATAGGTACCTATTCAGTACATATTTATAATGTGACATGCATTAAGCAGATATAAAAATAAAAATAATATTAGGGATTATTAACGATTAACTAAATTATTTAACGAATCATATGATTATTGTTTAGTTATTAGATTGTTCCATTGACTACATACCTATTCAGTATGCATCATATATTATTCATGGAGTTAGAATACCTAAATTATGTTTATTTTCATTAAATTGATGAAGTGCTATAAAAAAAACTGTAGGTATTTTTTTTTTATTATTTTAAAATTTTTTTGCCATTATATCATCTAAACTTAGGTAGTTTTAAATTTTGATCATTTGTAAATTAAAAATCTGTATTATCTAAGAATTAATAAGCGAACTCTTTTTTTTTCAAACTTTGTATTAGTATAAATTATAGTATTATTGTATTATACTCACGTTCCATTTTAAATATACATTGACTGATTAAATATACTAAATATACTTCGTCGATGTCTTATATTTATTATGTATGGGTGATACGAACGATAATAATACATTAACATTCATAATATTTAGTGATTAGACATTTTTATTAATATATAAGCTGAATTGATTTTACCACGTATCTACGATTAATTTTTTCATCCCTTTTTATCTATCTGATCAAGGTAAGCAACCATATAACAAATGACTGGGCAAATGTCAAGCGCGAGCTGGTTTCCTATATTATATTGTATTCATGATTTTCATTCTCTCTGTAACCTTGTTGTCGATTGAACGAGAAAAATAAAAATATTTTCTTAGATTTTAACTGCATTTTAGGCTTTGTCTTTAAATGTCTTAACCATAGGGTTTATCTCCACCCAGCCGTGATCGTCTAGTGGTTAGGACCTTGCGTTGTGGCCGCAATAACCCAGGTTCGAATCCTGGTCACGGCACAAATTTTTTTTGCAGAAAATCTCTGAAGAAAATAGAAAGGAAAATCGCCACCATAACACTCCTATCCCTCCCTCGTTATTCTCTTCCCGACCGTCACTAACATTTTCTCAGATACTATATGTGCACGTCTACTATGTTGTAACAAAATGTATAGTATTTTAAACGCCGACGGTTTCTTTTTTCCTAAAACTACCCTTGCGCACAAATAAAATGTAACTCCATTAGGAAGGCTTATTATCTTAAATTTAAATATTTTATTAATTAAGATATTTTCAAATGTAATATTATGAAATATTGGGTCGTGGTAAAAATGTAAATAACATATTGTTTGTAATATTTATGGTTTTTCCGGATAAAATTTTTTCACAAATTCATAACTAAAAATAATGTATTTACTGACTCATAAAATGAAGGTATATATGTATCAAAAGTTATATTATTTTTAACTTAAAAAATATTAATAATTCATCCAGTAGACTGCAGGTTATTGAAATTAATTTTTAAAGTGCTCTTATAAGAATTATGAAAATGAAATTCAGAATAAATGCTCAATAAAAAAATGAATTTTTACAAAATTATCCTCGTGTTACAATTATTGGTTTGGACATACATTTTATTGTTAAGTTTTCGATTATGTCATTACATAAAATATATATACGAGCACATATATTTATTAATTTGTATGACTATAATAATAATAGAAAATATAGGATTTTTTAATATTTGTCAGATATTTGTTGAAGTGTTCATTTTTAATAAATTAAATTAATATTTATATTAATTACCCTTTGATAGTAGGTAACAGTCAATATATATAATTAATTAACTTGGTTTCCATGTGTACTGAAGTGTAAAACCGATTAAATTGTATTTTAATAAATTGCTATAAAATTACAATGTGATAACATTTTGAATAGTGTTTCGATTTTTTTTTCAGTTCAATACAAAGTGAATTGCAACGATGAATATATGACCGTCGATGTTAAAAAAACTGATGATATCAAGAGCATTTATCTGAATCAAATGAAATATTATCCAGGTACTGTAAATATATTCGTGGACTAAAATAATATGAAATTATTTATAAAAAAAAAAAAACCAAAAAAATTAGGAACTCAATGACGAATTGGAAAATTCTTCTTCTCTTTAATTTCGTATATTTATTTTAATTTCGTATATTTTTTGTTTTCTTCAATAGAACTTGCTTGTCAACCAATTTTTGAAAAAAATCTTATTCAATTCAAACTGTCATTACGGGACGTGTTTCAATGCGGTCTGACTAAAGTGACCAATCAAGGAACCGTAAGAGCTCAAAACGTATTTTCTTAGTTGTTTGAAAGAAACTACACATTATATCTCGCGTTCTTAGGGCACGATTACGTACTACCATCAGATAGTGATAGAGAAACACGACGGCGTCAACGACGGACTTAAGTCGTTCGTGAACGTGAAGTGCTGGTTTTCCGGAAACAAAAATCACACATTGACCAGGAGAAACGTGCTTCCTGCTGGGTTCCAAGAACCAGAGTAAGTACTGAAGTGCGATGTGTGCATTGACTGTTAATTGAATATACGTCATATTATCCATTGCTTATTACGTATATTTTACGCAACGCCATGTAATTAAATACTATTAAGTAGGTACTATAAAATACGTTTAATTACTTAACGTATTAGGTTACTGTAAACAGAACAATTGTCTAGAAATAATCTACATAGTTTATTAGCGAACGCAGTCATTTTAAGAATCTTGGCTACAGAAATGGCGAAAAAAAAAATCAACAGTATTAATTTAATATACAAATAATAATTTGATTATGTTCGAAAATAATTTTGGTAGGATATTAATTTTTTTTTTTGTCACTTTATTTTCATTGCCAAAAAAAAATAGTTTTAGGTAAATATTTTTTTTAAACACACTCTTCTGCCATACATAATATCGTTTTTAACAACCGTAATTATATATACTATGTACAATTACGATTGTTAAAAATGATTGTTTTTCGCAATATTCAAAATTGATGTATAAAATCCGTTATTTTGTTTACAATATAGTATACTCGTATATCTTTTAAAAAATACGTTTTATATTATTATTATACAATTGCATGGTTATTTCATGTTAATTTGTATGATTTGTTTGTGAACGTTACTCAATCATCAAATCGGTACCTGATCAGATACGAACTGTAATATTATAATATAGGCTATTAAATCATTAGCGATGCAATGTATTCTAATTTCGTAATCATAAAAACACTACTAGACGTATCCGTACAATTATGTTTTATTGGATACACACCACTGACTTATAACACGATCACTCACAAATCACACTATCTAACCCGCACGTGCCCATCGATGTGTATAATTGAACAACGACGATTTATTTGTTTGTATTTATTACGTTACAATTCCAGATGTTGAATATTCAATCGAGCAATACGTAATAATATAATTGCATTAAACATGTAAACGCCAAATCGCGTCAAGTACGCTATGATTTGTTAGTAACGTGTGGATTAAAAAAAGAACGCTGGCAGGTAAAACATACTGCATGTACCCAAAACGACACAATAATAAGTATTTGTGGACAAAATCATCAAATCATACATTATATACATTTATATTTTATAAACGCATTTTTTCTCTCTAAAACTACTAGATACTCCTGGAAACTTTCAGTTTGGCCCCAATATAATTATTTTGTAGATACAGTGTTACATAATATAGGTCATCTCCAAAGGCATTATTATACATTCAATATAGTCTTATAATATATAAATATAAATTTAATATATTACATATGAATCAAAGTGAATACGAGTTTTCACTTATCCTCAGGCTATATAAAGAACTTATTTTTCAGTTCTAAATATTACTTTACATTATTAAATGCATATTTAACATTACAGTTGACGTTGCTTAAAATTATAATAATATGCTTACCGTGGTTCTGACGTGTACAGGGACTTGGAGATAACCACTTCGCTGACGGAGAACGCACCGATTCCCATGCTCAAGGTTGGCGTACGTCAGGGTGGCAGCATCGTAAACGGTGAACTTAACGTCAATCCGGGCACTCCGTTGCAAATGGAAATCTACCTAGACAAGGACAGTGCTCCTATTTACGGGTTACTAGTGAGCTACATGCAAGTGACGGACACCAAAGCGCAGGAGGAAACCATCATATTCAACGGGTAAACGAACGCCATTTCAGGAAAAAAATACAAATATAACGTGATAATAACATAATATTATGCAAATGTTCGGCGATTTATTTTACGCATAACAGATCTCAGGATCGATTGTATAATACAATTTTCGTAATTCATACTTATAGCTGTTCGGTCGATCCTTACCTGTTCGAAAACTTCAATACGGTAGACGGCGATTTTCTGACTGCGAAATTCAGAGCGTTCAAGTTTCCAGAGTCGACTTACGTGCAATTCAAAGGCACCGTTAACGTCTGTCTAGACAAGTGCAGAGGGGTTGGTAACATAATATATTTTATCGTTATGATGTATAAACTTGTATATGATACGTATAAATTACTCGGTAGATTTGATGGAGTTTTAATTCCTAACGATCGTCGGTTCGTGAAACCAACAAAAAATAATTCTATAATAATTACACGTGGGTAGAAATGTTCAATTTTTTTTCCACTAACTTCATCATGCACCAGTAAAGTTTACTAAATGAGACAATGTTTACAACTATATGGTACATTTTTTATTTTTTTGTTCATCTCAATAAATGCATATTTAAATTATATTTTTTCAATGATTATAATAATATTGTATTGTGTGAGTTAACGCTGAAAAGAAAAAGTATACTATAATTTAAAATAGATACACATTATTATATGTAACAAATAAATGTAATACTATGTATCAACTACATTAGCTTTAAATAAAAACATAATGTTTTAACTTGGTAACGAGATTGTACATTTTATTCGCTACGTTTAGTCGATTCTAATGATACCAAAGCACGGTTTGTTAAACATAATATGTTGTATATATATGCATTATATTTCATTAAAAACAAATCATGATGAACGTATAATGCGAATAAAGAGAAAAACATATGTCATTATCTTAATAAAATAACCGATTTGAACAAAGTGATAAAAAGAAGTAATTGATATAAAGAATTTGATCTTGGTAGTATTTAAAAATGTATTACTCTTAATAATAAGATACGTTAGCATACTGTAGCAGGATACGTTTTATTATTTCGCATAATTAATTTTATAACAAAATATATAAAAGTAGAAGTTAAAAATATACACCTGTACACAACCACTCAAGTATATTTTATCTGTATATTCATATCGTACAAATAACGAACTGCAGTCGTATGTACTATGTAATCAATTACCCAATAGAAAATTCTATAGATTACATACAAGAACAGGTGACTCTTTATTTTAAAAAAGAAATAAATTATAATTATAATTATAAAAATAAATAATTTACATAAATACCAGCTGTAATCTGATAGACGGCTATCATTAGATTACATTGCGTTTATATAGTGGAAAAACACGTTTTTTGAATCAAGTTTTAAATAATTCACAGTGCGCAAGTAATAGAAGAAAATTAATATAATCATTAAAACTTTATACATTCAATTAAAGTTTTTTTTATTTTAGTAAAATTGTATTCAAATAATTTTATTTTATTTAGTTTTGGTTAATCGTATGATCACATATGTAATTCAGAGCAAAATATTAACATCGATTTTCAGATAAAATCAATTTTATTCTGATTTTTGGTTATTTTTTATCAGAATTTTAGATTCGATATGTGCATTTTAATTTCGGATCTAATCTGTCTGTTTATTTTGGCTTACATTAATGGGTAACATCTAAAAACAGGTAGTCTATATGATTAACCATTTAAGACAAAAAAAAAAATATAAAAAAAATACCCCGTAAAATTGTGCAGGATATGATCCAAACATGATTTTTTCATGCTTATTAAAATAATAATTTTATTAATAAGTCATTACACTGATAATGAGTATAAGTTTAATCATTAAAATGTAAATTATCTACGTATCGGATGGGTGTGTTATTGCTCGTTCGAATTAATATTTTATATAAAAATTTCCGATATCTAGTAATAAAATCACACTTAAATACTGCAGTATTTTTATGTAATTTATTTAGTGAGCCGTTAAAAAAATAATATGGTTGAATGAACAACATTTTACAAATCAAACAATTATTCTAAACTCTTAAAAATACTTATAAATGTTGAGTATAGAAGAAAACTTCGGGCCAGGGTGGTCTCAAAATTGATAATTGTCATAAAACACTATCTAATGGTAAATACGTTACAGTATTATAAAATTAATTTGTTTGTATTATTAGGTGGACTGTAGCAACGGTAAAGTGGGTTACGGAAGAAGAAAGCGAGAAATCAGTGGTATCCCACCTGACCCGAACAAGGTGTACGAAGTGTCCATGACCACGTTCATCAAGGTGGATTATAAAAACGAAATGGCTCGAGAAAAAGGTAAAACAATCAAATCACTCGGAGTTGCTGAATCCGTGGTTATTAATGATTTTTTGTGGAATTTTTTAGTGTTATTATTGTACAGAAATATAAGAATAAAAAGGCTTATGATAAATAATACAAATATTAGGGTTTCTAAATATACGTGTAAATAATAAAAATACGTTTGTTTTATTCACACGTGATCTGGATATCCGAGTGACCGTAAACTCGTGTAAAAATTACCCGCGTATTATCAAACGGTATTAAATGCACGGGTTTTTAATTTCATAACACTCATAAAGTATTACTTATAGTTTTAATACCAGCAGTAAACCGTAACCGCGTTATTTCTAACCCGTTTTAATTTCACTTGCAGTCAAATTGGAGATTGACACTACCGACGAACGGAACCAGACCAACTCCAACGCTTTGGACATCAAACCCAAAGGCAACGTTCGGAACGCCGACGGCACCGACCATATGCGAGTCGACACCGAAGAGATCCGTGAAGAGCTCAAATACACTTTACTGGAGGCAAACTATGGCCATCGTCTCGGACCTTACGCCATCGCCGTTGTCACGTCTGCTTTACTATTGATCTTGAACGTCTACATGACTGCGCACGTCTAAAGGACACAAGCAATTTTTCAGAATTAACAATCCTTTAACCTTATTAACTTTTGTCTCTTTATATTATTTATGTAAAATACGATCGTTTAAGACAATAATAATTAGGTGTCCAAATTTCACCAAGGTTAGAGTGTCACACTTTATCACATGTATATTGAAATATTTGTTCGTGTCTCATAAAAAAAAAAAAAAAACATCAATTACTCCATAAAAATTTATAAATGCACAATGTGCATAGTTTGTATTATGGTTATTAATTTTTAACGTTAAGTTTATAATTTCAATACACCTGGTTAGAAAAAATTTATCAAAGACAAAGGTACCAAATATTATTGTATTTGAATCGATTTTGAACTAAAATGAATTTTTATTTTAGTTTACAACAAATTAATTCTAATTAATTGTACTTTTTATACGATTTGCTCATAAATGAATAAGTTATTTTTTTTAAAAAACTCAATAATGATAATTTTTGTACGATTATTCATTATTTAATTTTTTGTTCTAAGGATTAAGAATTACTAATAACCTTTTCTTTATATTAGTATAATTTATCTTAATTAATTAACTGTAATAATTGATCATCAAGTATAACATGTACTTATAATAATGAAACATGGTGCATAATATAGTTAAATTAATAATATTTTTAACACATACAATTTTACTTTAACATTTTATTTAGTAAAATTTAAACTGAATGTATTTTCTCTTTTCAATAACTGTGATAATTGTATTATTGAATAATGTATTATTTTATTATTAAAAATAACTTCACTATAAAAAATATAAGTGTGTTTTTACTTATCTATATTTAAAGATAATATGAAATTATCGTGATTTTTACATTAATATTTTGTTCAGATTAAATGATATAAATAATAAAATACTAAATTATTAAAAATATAAATATTGTTTTGAAATTATTAGCCAATTTAGAAGTTATCTTTTAACAACTGGGTAAAAAACACATGAATTATATTACTTTTAGTTTTCTTTTTTTTTATATACGTTTTAAGTTTTTCTTCTGTGAATATAACTGTTAAGAAAATATGTCAAATTAAAATATGATAACAGTACTACTATATACTATATTATAACTATATTTCAAAATCTTTTTCAATATTTATGAACTATGTAACCAACATTTATATTATTCAGAAAAGTTAAATTAAATTTTTATCTTTTTATTAATAAAATACAATCTGTAAAATATAAATAATAAAAATTTGCGATTAATATTTTTATTTTATTTGCTTGTTTGGCTTTAGAAGAAAAATTCACTATAGGTATTCCTACTGATGTTAATTTAAATTTAATTTAGTTTATGAATAAATAAATATTACGTTTTATTATTTATCTATTTATTTTTTAGTTGTAAATACTTAAATTATATAAAAAAATATTTAATATTAAAGTACAGTCATTAATGAATACTTAAGTCAAGGTGAACTAAAATACGATTTTGTACATCAAAATTTATCATATACAAATATTTTATATAAATATATAAGTAATAATAATAAATAGGTGGTATGAGCCCAGTGACGTAATTTTAGTTTTTAACAGGGGAGGGAGAAAATTTTTGACAGCCCATAAAATAACTAAAAAGAAAAAAATTGCTCGCTAACAATTAAATTAATAAAATACTATATTAGGGAAATACTCTTTGAAAATAGAAGAATAAATCATGATATTATACAAAGAATTAAATAATTTGAAAAGTTAATTTCTAGCGGGCTTGCGGCCCATATCCGGCCCGACATCGGTAATGATAAGGAGGGGGAGCAAATGCTCACCGTCCCTCCCAAAATGACGCCACTGCATGAGCTAATTTTAATTAGTTGATTTTTATTTTACAGACTCTGAACCAGTGAGATAAGATATTTAAGAGATTTTGAAGTAGGCAGCTTGCTTTAGGGGGATCGTGACTGGACGATAATTGTAATTATTTATGATCGTTAACTACTATATATTCCATATAAAATTACAGTGGTCCCTATTCGATGTAATCATTTCAGCACTAGCAGAATTGATAATACTAAACGAAAGTTTTAAAAAATAACATTTTGGCACGTACTTATGTCTCAAAAAAAAAATTAATAATAATAATAACAATCAGTGTTGGGACTTATCTAGATAGATTTTTTGTCATATTTTATCTTATCTAGATAAATAACGCTAAATTATCTAATTACTTATCTAAGATAAAATATTTACTTATCTAGATAATTTTATCCGGATAATTGTCTGAATTCTTGCCAAGATTAGAGTTATTTTTATTCTTGTATGTAGACGAATCCAATAAATCAGAGATCATCAAAATCGGTCCAGCCGTTCTTGAATTATAAATTCTGTAACTAACCCGACTTTTTTTTATATATATAGATTTTGTATTCATAATTATAATTCATGTATTATTAATAAGTAATTATTATTTCTTGGTATGATATTTTGTTTGTATTTTAATGTCGGAAAATATCTTTGGTATTTTTAAACTTAATTTCTTATTTTTTCATAGAAGTTCCAAATATAGTTATTATTATTATATATATTTGATTTTAGTATACACACGTAACTCATACACTGAATAGTCAATACTTCACTCTTGGAACCGGTAAAGTCGTAACTACTTATAGAATAATGAAAATCATCAAATTGAAATTATATGGAAAACAATATTGTTAACTTAAAATAATCTCTTATGTATTTTGTATTCATCCTGATACTAAGCAATTTTCATTGTTTTTTTTTTTTTGTGTTACATTTTAGTGATTAATTATCATTAAATAATGTACTTTATATATAAATACTGCTTAATGGTAAACTACATTACTACAATAAACATTAAACACTTAGGTACCTATTGATAATAATGATTATAATTGTGTCTTCATAGATATTATTACAAATATGAAATATTGAACAACAAATAACATTTTTTGAAAATATCTTTTTTTTTATCTAGATAAAAATGAAATTATCTTTTATCTTTATCTAAATATTTTTATTTTTTTTATCTATTATCTTTATCTAGATGAATTTGGACATATTATCTTTCATCTTTATCTAGATAAATTTTGCATTATCTATTCCCAACACTGATGAGAATATCATATTACACTTGTAACTATAATATAAATGGATTTTGAATTTTATGAATATTGAAATAAGTAAATATTATTTATAATTATCATTTAATGTGCATAATTAAATTAATTTTAAATTTAAAACAATGTTAAATGTAAATATGAATGTATAGCATAAGCAGACATTAAGTTCTGGGTGTGGCAGAAAAAAATTAACTAATCAGGTTAATAGGAGATGACATTCTCCAATCAACTTTTATTACCTTTTAATGCCTGATAGTAAAACAATTATTCATTCCATACGTTGTTTTTAAGTTAGTTTTCATAATTATATCAATTGATTAAATATTATACACTCCAAAGGAGTGTATGTAACCATAATGTTAACATTCTTACTTAATTTTTCTTAGTAGATAAGAAAATTCATTGTATCTTTGTACCGCATACAACGTGATTTTACGTCCTTAAAAATAATGATATCGTACAAGAATAATTGATTATAATTAGTGTGATAATTCACATATAATACATACATCCAGTCTGTACTTTTACTTTTCAATAATAATCAACGATCAATAACATGTTGGCCGTGTGACACGGTTACCACTGTAAATAGATATATTAAATACATATTACACTATATAAATTATTTATAGATATCTGTAAACAAAGAGTAGGTATAGAATAAATGTTTACAATATTTTGAATGCAAAAGCCTCATAATTTTTGGGAACAAAAAGGAATACAAAATTAATGTAATTTGTTTTATTATAAAACGTATTTGTATTTAGTTTATATTTATTATTGTTAATTATTGTTATTTTTCTTTTATTATAACAAATAAATCCGTAGCATCTATAACCATTGGTCTAATAGCGACTTAAATCATTACATAAATACATTGTGAATCGTATTTAATCCAAAAATAGTTCATATTTTGTTATAAAAATTGTATTCTTTTTTAAAAAGTAAAATTATTATAATTTGCATTTATATCTAGATTGAAAATATCATATATATATATATATATATATATATATGTGATAATGATTTCTATTCAAACTTTGATGATAACAGCATTCCGTGAGAATATGATTCAGTGTAATATAGTTGAATTTGCAGTAATAATGTATATTTTTGTCAATTAAAAATGTTTAACATTACGAACTAGGTATGATTTACTGTTAAATTTAAATCGTATTTTGTCGATATTTTGCGTACTTAAAATAGATATGTGTAATGTATCAGTTATTATATTACATCGGTGTCACATAGGGTCATATCTCAATAAGATAATGTGTAAAACAGTGTTTAAATAACTTTACATGGAATCATCTATATTTTATACATTTCAATATTAGTTACAGTTATTAGCTTTAGCTACAGTACATAATTAATGTATATATATTGTAGGTAAATATGCCGTTACAACTTGAATTTAACGTAGCACAACAAGTAAGCCACAACAATCACAAGAAATATCAATAGGTGCTCGTAAGAAAAAGTGATCTGTTTGGAGTGAATTCTTGTGTTCTGTTCCTAATGTTTGTTCTAAGTTTATTTGTTTATTATTATGTGTTACATTGGATTGTCGTGTGTCGTTTATTTTATTAACTTATTACAGCTATACTGATTATATTAAATACATACAACAATTTCAATAATTTCAATCAGTTTGTGACCAAAATAACTGTTTTCGCCGATAGCGTAGTGGAAATTCATCTCGGCCGTCTCAAGCTAACATCGAAGACGTGACGCTTAAATCTGTTGCCTATTCAACATTTTTTAGGCGTACACAATGTGTATATAATCCAAAGGAAACATTTATTTTCAAAATTGTAATAACTGTTGTGATAACCCTGGATCTCTACACTAGGTCTCTCGGTGAGACCCAGTATTCTGTCTGGATAGTGGTGAGGAGACGGGTCGTCAACTAACTCCTTTCCTTCCTTTCTTTTTTATTGTATTTTTATAAAAGTGTGTGTAAAAATGTATGTACATCACTGTAAGGGGTCATGGGAGGGACATTGTCCCTCTTACATTTTTCGTTTATCCTGTACATACCGGATAAAGAGATTGCGTGGAAACGAATAACAATAAATAACATGTATTAATGGAAAATATTACACCGGGACAATATTTTAATTGTAAAATTGTGTTTTCAGATAATATTATGTACCTATTGGCTATAGCCGGTTATATTTATACATATTAGAGCATATAGGACACTATATAAATTTAAATTAATGAAATAAATATTATTTTATGTTATTTACAAACAAATTCGAACAAAAATAAAGTGAAAATTTGTATAACTCTTTAATAATAGTAACACGTCAATAATTCGATAATCGTGACGCTTTAGTTGAATAAATTATAATAAATTAAATACAACAACGCATTGTTGATAGAGACTGTGGTAGATTGAATTATTGATCTGTCTCATTTCCCGTACGTTGATACGACTAAATCTTATTATTTTTGACCAGAGTACGCTATATCGTGAGCATCGAATTGCATACTGCGGCCCCAATGTTGAGGAGGATGAGACTCTTGTTCTTGTTCGCCTTTTTGCGACATAAGCAATTTCTTGATAGCAATTATACCGGACAGGACTAAAGCAATTTTGCTCAACAACAATGCCTTACCAGCCATCATCATGAGCATTTTCAACGCCATCGGACCCATGACCGCGGCTGCCGTCATACCGGCCATCATCATTGCTTGTTTCATGCCCTTGTCCTTCTTCTTACCACGACCTGCGAGATAGACAAATAAATGATTACGAGTACGGTTAAAAGTACATAGATTACATAGGTGAAATTGCTACAACTGATATTATATTTAAATGAAATGTAATCAACTCTTAATTGACAAGACCTACTATAAGATCTATCTTTAATCAAATCAATTGTTTAAATTGCTTTGCTAAATATACTAGATATTCTACGTGTAAAATGTATAAACTTTATGCTTACTTCTATATAAATGTGGTATAAATTCAAATCATAATTATGTTGTATTTTTAAAATAAAATATAGCTCGTTCCAAGCCGATTCACTTGAGCGAAATGTGTTAATAATATGTATGAAAGTTATTTTTTTTTTAGATCTTTTAGATCTTTTAGACCTTGATTCCAGGTCAGTTCAACTAAGGTAATTTTCATTAAGATTTTCAGAAAGTTATTGTGCTATAATTTTTAATTATTTATGGGTCACTTAATAAATTATTTTATTTTAAACATGAATATATTTTCTAATCTAGTTAGGATTAGTAACTATTAAAATAAAACAAAATTGCTTTTTACACTCTTAAGTCTAAATAGTGAAACATAAATATTTATTCCTTTTTTTAATTTTAATATAAAATTACGGTTACAAAAAGGCATAAAAGGCATGCAGTATAGTTTGTACAACTTAATTAAGAAGTTTCACGAGAGTGCAAAGTTAACTTAAAAATTGAATGCGACTACTCTTTGAATTTTCAAAATTACATTAAGTTCATTATATATTCGTATTTTTATCCAGAATTTAATTCACGAGACAGATGTCTAATCAAGTCGAGGATCATATAATTTACAATAATATACATTTGACATATATGCCAAATGGAAATGTGATACAATTCATGGTTATGGTTACCAGAAGTTCTGTATAATACAGGAATTTATATTTTTTTGTATCCAAGTGTCTCGTTTTCCAAAAATTACGCATATAATAAATTATATTCTTTTTCTGTACTGAGATAATAAAATAAACATAATTTTATCATTTATTTTAATTTTTAAATTTTTATTTGTATGTTCTAAAATATATGTAATAATTTTAGTTTATATTATTAGTTATTATTCTTTATCACTATCCGTTGGCCGTCCTACCGAATACTGATTTCTATTAATAGGTTACTAAAATGTTATAGTATGTTTACCCGTTTATAAAATAGTTTAATCAATTAGAAAATTGTTATTCTTATCTGGTCGAACATTGTTCATATTTTAACACATTCAACGCCGGTGACGCGTATACGCGTCATTGGTAATTGTACGTGTACTGCCGTCGACGCGTTTACGCGTCATGTCTAATTTTACCGAGGCGCCACGTGTAAAATGCAAGTGATACAGATAATATTGTTATAACATTATAACATAATAATATAAATAAAAATAGAAATTTACATAAATAGTATTTATACGTGCATCCAATGATAAAAAAGATTATAGGGAAAATCCAGTCTAAAAATAACCGATTTCCAAAACCAACCATAATTTTTGTTTTTTATGATTTTTCCCTATGGCCACCTCAAATTTCAGATAATTACGATCAAAGCCACAATAATTAAATGGCATTGAAATATATAAGAAATTGACGCGTAAACGCGTCAGTGGTCCGTTGGAAAAGAATACATATAACGCGTAAACGCGTCAGTGGCCAAATGCAAAAATATCGTTACGACGCGTATACGCGTCGCCGGCGTTGAATGTGTTAAGAATCTTATGTTCATACTTTAATAAGTACTTATGGCTATATGCTGTTGAAATATTATTTAAATATTTATTTAAAAATATGTGAGAAACCGTTTTCATATAAAAAAATGTTCAGTCAGTTGCGACGAGAGGAGGAGATATAAAACTGTAAGAGACAAAAAAATTTAAATTCAAAAAACCTTTATTAAAATTAACTCACCTCTCATGTAAATAAAGATTGTCCTGTAGTTAAATTCGAGACACTTTCATAAAAAATGTCTATCGTTGTCGTTGTGACATTTGAAGTAGACATTTTTAGTCCCGTATTTTGAATTTTAAAATCTGGCAACTCTATTCATGATTGAATTATAATTAAGTTGGTGATATCAGTGATTAATGGATAAATTTAAATATTTTTAGCACTTTATTTGCTATTGTATTGTAGCATATTAGAAAACATTATTATTGTAGATTAAGTTTTATATTTATGGCCGATAATGATTTGATATTCCAGCCAGTACGGTTGTATGTGAACACACCGTGTTAACGAGTAAGACTGTGAATGCCATTAATTAGGTTATTTTATTCAAAATATTGAACTTTTTTAAAGTTCAAGGTATTTCAGTGTTTTTAGGGAATTTTTTTGAGTTTATAAATTCTTAATTTGAATTTGAAAATTTATATTTAGATTTATACACACCAACATGCTTTTTATATAAATTAACAAATTTTACTATAGGTAGGAACTCGTAATTTATATTTTATTATTAAAAAATAGTTGACATCAAAACTTAGATTAAAAGTGGTGGCGTTAATTATGGTTTATAATATTAGGATAAATTCAGAATCGTTAATCGACTATTTAGAATCAGTAAAATCGACGAACGATATTATCGTTTAATACGAGTTTTAATTTCGTAACCACCATGTGAATTACATTTTTTTAGATTAATTTTTAATTAATTTAAGTTAAATTTCTAATGCATTTTTTGAGGTTTTTTATGGTATTAAAATCCCAAATTTTATAATAATATATCCACTGAGTAATATATGACAGTCATTCGATGTTCAACACATATACATAACACATATTAACCCAAAAAGTTTACACCGTTGCTACTAGCTTATTATTGTAAATCGTATAATTTGTATTAGCCAAGTGTGCATTCAACTGTCATTATTGAAGGTTATTGTAAACACTTACATGTACCTTATATATCCGATGCCCTACAGGCTATATTTTAATACTAATACCTATATACATATATAAACTATATGAAAAATATAGAGCCGAAATTGTGTATTTTTTTTTTTCGTTGTACTTATGAACGCTTTAAATTTTTTTAATATACCTTTACTTTTTTCTAAGGTAACAATGATTATAGAAATTATTATGTTTTCTGTAGAAAAATCCTTGCCAAAAGAGTGTAATAATACTTTTTATTACGGAAAAATAAATTTTAAGGCTGTTGAAAAATGTTCAAAACATATCCTGGTCAGAAATACCGAATTTGAAACACTTTTTTGTCGCCATATTACTGTTTATAACGAATTTAAATTAATTTCTTGCTATCTACTCACAGCAAGTAATATTTTTGAATTCTATGCAGTTCACAGTACTTCACCGGAGTATCAACATGACATAACAGTTAATACTATTGTTACTCGATGTGCTTTGAGATTACTCACCTTCTTGATCGACCGATCCATCTAACACGATGGTCCTGGAGGACATGAGCCTGTCCATCCGGTCGATTAGCATATCGTTCAACATGGCGCTTTTACGATCTGAGTCCTTGACGGCGTCTAAGGCTGCACGGTCGGCTTTCTCTGTCTGCGGGTCGACCAGCAGGGATTTGCCGGCGCGAGCCGACAACGACACGCCTTCCGCGACCACCACGGTGGGTTTGCTAAGGGCCCGATCTAGGGCGGTCAGCGCTTTGGACTTGAGGCATATAGCGGCAGATCCATCGGATTCGTCGCCGAAACAGTCGTCCAGCACGGACCACAGGACCATGCCTAGTCCTCCGGCCGACGATGATCCTTCTTCGGCTCGGTGCTGCTGCTGCTGCAAGTCGGGGGCGGACGACGCGAGACCGAACACGGCGAAGGCGAGAGCGAAGGTAAACGAGATTGCTATGACGGACGGAGACATGGTTTGCTGTTGGAAGTTGATCCGTACGTACAGGAACTATATAATAATACTAATACTGTTAGCAAAACCGGTGCGAGCGCGCGATCGCCGGCGTGTACAGAGTGGTGCAACGTCCGGTGTTCGGGAGCTTATATATGAACGTGCGATGTGCCGATTTGTGTGTATTATTCATGTTGTACGCGACCAGAAGACCGTGGAAATAATGGACGGGCTCCGCGTGAGTTTCTCCGCAGCGCCGCCGGGAACGGCACTATATTGAAGTGTGCAGCACTTTACGTGGTACGTAGTACACGTGTTCCTACAATTATATCGTACCCGTTGCATTATGCATGTACCACCGGTGTTCCGTTTTCACGCGCTACACTCGTTTTCTCGGTGAACTTTTGTCGGGTTTTTTTTTCTGTTTTTAATTTTTTATAATTGCATTTTCTTTTACGATAAGCTTCACTCGTTATTGTTGCATTTAATGTATGATGTTTTTGCGAAAATATGAAAAATATATGGTTTTTTTTTTAATTTTTTTTTTTTTTGCACGCGGTGATTCTTCTTGCGCAGAACTCGACTTTTCTTCAATGACATTTTTCGAAGTACGATCAAAATCACAAAAAATAAAAATGAGTTGAATTATTCCATAATTCAACTTTCATTCATTGATTTTTCAAATGTGCACCATGCGCGTTCAAAAATCAATTATTACCACACCTATAATTTTATTTAAAGTAAACGTTAAAAATCTTAACAATCAAGGTTTTTAGACTTTTAATCACGTCGTAATTGTTATTTACTCGTTTAATGTCGGTAAGGTTTGGTATTAGTTATTCCTCGGTCTACAATCAATAATATATTTTTTAATTTGATAACATTGCTTAGAATATCACTCTTATATTAGATGGCCAATATTTTTCACATGACAATAATTATGTTCAGCGAAAATAAATTTCATGAACATTTTCGTTTATACTAATATAATAAGAGATATTCTCTTTTAATATTTATAAATATTAATTCATTATATTTTCTATTGTTGTAAACTGTGACAAGTGACAAATACCTACCCATATTATACTTATTTGACAATTTTATTTATTCGCTACATCTCTTGTTAAACTTTATGCTATTATAATATAATAATGAATATGATTAAATAAAATAAATAATATAATATGATATTCTCATTCAATGAATTTTGATAATTTAAAGAATTTATATGAAACACACTGTAAGGTAATCTAATAGAAGTATGATCAAATGTTTTTATACAAATGGACATGTCTTTAAGAAAAAGAAAACATAATGATAGTTTTGCGCTTTTCAAAATTTTATCACAGGTAATGTTGGGCGTTTCTTTATTTTACCGGATATTAAATTTTTTTCTATGTATATATTTATAGTAAATTATAACTGCTTAAATATTTGTTTTTACAAGTCATTATGAAAGTTGTCAGATATTAGGAACACAATAATGTAATTTTTTACTTTTCATACTACAATTCACTTAAATGTTTGATTTTTTTATTTTAATTAAATAAAAATATTTTTAAAAAATTATTAAGCAATGATCATATACATTTTATTTTTATTAAAATAGTTTTAGAAAATTTTACTGCTCAATATTAAGATTATAAAATATTGATGTATGATAATAAAATTTAAAGTGTGATATTATTGATATTAATAGACTATAGGCAATACAGTAAAAACCGGGTGTGTAGAGGGTGCATTGCACACAGGCCCCGGGCCCTGAACTATGTATTACAGGGCCTCAAAAGATTAAATACTCAAAAAGTTTGATGATTAGGGACCTCAAGATTTTGATTCGCACACGGGACTCGAATAATCTACTTACGGCACTGTCTATAGGTTAAAACTGTATACGAATAATAGACATACCATTTTTTGGATTAATTTAAATTTAAAATCTTATAACTAAATTTTCTTAATATTGAAAAATTATAAATAATAATATGAACTATTTATATAACATTCTATTCACGTAAGTACTACTAGTAGGTTCTTATTGATTTTATAAGTTTTCTTTTAAATTTCTAAAATTGTATATCGGATCAATAGGAATATTTTAACACTGCTCTATAGGCTCAATTACCGATGATATATTTTTTCTAGTTAGTAGTTAGTAGAGTGATATTAATTTATTAAACATTAAATAAACTACTTTTTAGGATTCTGAACGATGCAAGCAGTATAGAAATTTTTTGTGGTACGATTATATAGTCTACACCTAACGAGCAAACATTTTAAATGCAATAAGGATAGGATCAGGAGCGTGGCCAGGGAATGGTTTTGAGGGTTCAAAATACCTCAAAATTAATTTTATTAATTTTTTAACATTATTTTTTATAAAATAAAAATACATTTATTATATAATATTACAATGAAATATAATTGTTTTTATCAATATTTTACTAAACTATTATCATATAAATATATTGCGTTTTGTTTTCAAATTATCAAATTAGTTAATAAAATCATAAGCATGTTGGTTTTTTGATTTCAAATATTTTTAATCGGTGGAAAAATGCTAAACTAAAGTTTAATTTCCTTTAAAGTAAGAATTCAAATTATGAACTTAAAATTATATTAGATGATAGTCGAACAAAACTTGATGAGCTTGGATGTGACATTAAAATACCACGTAACAACAAAATAAAAAAATAAAACAAAATAATCGAAGAAACGTACCATCAAATTCCCCTTTATAATATTAATATTATAAAATATCTATAATATTTAGAACTAGAGCTCGGATGTTTTAGACAGCATATTTTTTTCGCGCAGCCAGAATTACACCGGAGTAAGATACAAATTTAATTCATGAAGTCTATATTACAAATATGCAAATTACAAATATTTTGAAATTTTTCATCATATAAATGCATATATTGATAATTTATAGATTTAATGGCTTATTTATAATATTTTAAATATAATATAAACATAACACTTTATACGGTTAAAAACTCATGTATTTATATCACTATATGTATACATGAATGTCGGAATCGCCTGTCGACGACCATTATCTTATCGTCTATCGTTGATAGATTAATATTATAGGTATAAGTAAGTATAACAGTACAGTAATAATCCCTCGTTATCCGCAAAGGTTACGTTCCAGCAAACCTGTGCGTATAGCGCATCCGAATATATATTTATATTTATAGTAATTTATTTCTATCATGCATTTTTTTATAATTTATTTTGAATTAATAATAACCCCTTTTTTTGCGTATATTTTTTTATATATTTTTGTTGAAAAATAGGTATATTCGATATATTTGAAGGCATATATTTACATATTTTTAAATTTTTAAATGCATATTTTAATGAAATTTGGGTTATTAACATCCAAGCTTTATTTAAAACAATAATATTCATAACATTTTTTGATCATACTTGTACATTAACTCATCTGACTGTCCGTTTCGGAAATCACAAAGAAATTTAAACTAACGTTAAAAAATGAAAACCATTTCCAATTCAAAATATTAGGCATGCCTCAAGATAAAATGCATATTTGTATATATTGGATTATAAAATAAATATGATAAATATAAAACAAAAAAGCAAAAAAGAAATCATATTAAATAATATTAATTATTTTGTTAAACTAAAAGTTTATGATTTTTTTATTTTTCTTCAAAAGTAGTATTTTTAATTTAAATTCATTCAATTTATTTCTATAATTTAAACAATAGGTTATTAAACATATTTTTTTATCATTAAAAATTTTAACTATGGTGGAATGTGTTAATGACATGGAATTATAAACATTTCTACATAATATGAATTCTATAATATCAGTATAAAGTAGTATACACTCACTGTACTCTTACCCTTTGGGATGTTAAAATATTTATTTATTTCAATAAACATTATTATTATTATTATTATTATTATTATTATAGTAAAAAAAAAAATAGATCTTCTCTTTGGAGTTCATAGCAATAATCAAGTCATTTTTTCTCATTATTTTTTTGTATAAAATACAAGTTTCGTTTAATTTGGATTAATTAATAAATCTATTAAATCTAATTCATAAATGATGATTTATCGTTGATTCTGTTCATAATATGTAATATAATCAGAATTCGGACATAATATGAGTATATCATATAATCATAGTTTACATATTTATATTAAATGTAGCAAAACATTATGATACATTAATAAAGAATCCTTTTTAAAAATAAATTAAACTTTTTTCAAATAGATGTATAACTTTGTTTAGCTAGAGCTAATTAAACGATTTAAAAACAATATTTACATATAAGTTACTTGATAGATTTTTAATTTAAATTAAAAATTTACTAAAAAAAAAAAAAAAATTATCCTAATATTAGCAGTCTCATAAAATACTTAGTATTTAAATGTTACCTTTTATAATTTGATAATAAAAGAAAAGTAATATAATATCTAACATTATTATGTCAATCGCTTCAACAGTCTTATTTTATTAGAACAAACTTTTATAGATATTACGAGTAGAACGTTCAGCTCAATAAAATCGAATAGACACTACATGATACTAAACATGCTAAACATACAATATACTAGATATTAAACTGTATTTCTTAAAAGTTTTTATTTCATTACTTTGTAATTGCATATTTTTATATAATATTTGTAATAACCAAAAATTAAATAAAAGAAAAAGTGGTGAAGCGTGGTGAGCGATGTAAACGATATGATGTGGATTATTTACGTATATCTTTGTTTAAGGAAAGCCATTTAGGAATACAATCTATACCAGCTATTGAAAAATTATGGTATTGATTTATTACATCTAATTAAAACGAAAACATTTGAAAATGTATTTCCTTGATTGAATATGTGTATTTGTAACATTATTATTATGAAATTAAGAATTAAAATTTGATATCCAATTTTTTGAAAGTTTTGAATACAACTGATATGATAAAAATTATAGACGCCTTATAAAATTAATAGAATTAGTTCGATGTGTAACAGCCTGCTGTATTTTTGAGTACAAACAATGTGTATTCATTTTTTTCTTCTAAAGTTTGTAAATACGAGTAGCTATAAAAATCGCCAAAGTGTATTATTAAATAAAAATAAAAATAAAAAAACAGTCAATTAGTGATAGTAAAAAATGTACTCGCATTTTACGTTGTTCTATCTCTCGGCTAAAATGTTTATTAGAAAACTAAAAATTTTCACCAAAATTATTTAGCGAAAGACATCTTCAACAGTTACTAAACATATTGTTAAAATTAAATGTTCACTGCGAATGCATTAATTAATAATTAACTCTACGAATGCAATGTTATAGTCTTAATTCGCGATTATATGTAATGTTTTATTAGAACGTATAGTATAGAATAAGTTATACGTTGTTATACATCCAGTGCGAGGTCCACGGCCGAGTGACCACTGTAAGCCATATCATAATTATTGTCTTTATCACATGTATATGCACTAGACCCAAGGGAAAAATAGCAATATAGTCTGTACGTGTTGTGTGGAATAACAACATTCGTCATTTGTTCATCATCATCTCCAGTCACAACTCTAAAATAAGAGATCTACTCGTATGTACTTAAAATATTGTTTGTTTTGACAAACTTAATTCATTATAATGAATAATCAAATGTAACATTATGATGCCTTTATTTTTATTTTTATTTATATAACGTCCCAAAGGGATTAATAGTGAAATACGACAATAAATTCATACTGAACTTTATATGTAATGATTAATCGTATTCATAAGCTTTTTTTTTTTTTTTACCTATAGTTTTCTCCCGAGACAATTAATTTATTACATGATTAACATTCAATGATATGATTTTCAAAGCCTGATTGTAATGAATAATATTTCTTACAACTTGCGTAGACAAATGTCTACCAATGTATATTTATTTACAAGAGTGTTTACGCTCAGATCCAATAAAGAAGGTAAATTCAATTTATGATTACTTATTTTTCCTTTAATTAGGATAATATTAAAAAAATCCTCCTATTAAAAAATATAACCAACTGAAAACTTTGAATTTTACAATATTTTAGGTTTTCCTGAGTATAATATGTACTTTAATTTTTACTTGTACTCAGCATAAGTATTCAAACCTCTTGTCATCTAAGTTAAAAAAAACACAATTATATTAGCATTTCGATTTGTTAATTTTTTAGTGTCAATATATTGTTCTAAGATGAATATTTCTAATTTACATAACAACACTGTCATTCGTGATACAATGTCATTTTTAAGTCGGTGAAAGTTAATAGGTGATATAAAGGTAAAAGAGCACTATTTTAGATAAAGTAATTTAATAACAATTAATACAATTTAAATATTTTAGATTTGTAAGCAATATTTTTTTTTCATATAAGTGTACAAATTAGTTAATATTATTACAAAAATAATAATAATAATAATAATAATAATAATAAATTAATAGTTTAAAATTAATTATGTAATTGTAATATTAATAACATTTAATTTAATTTTAAAGTTTATTCGAACAATAATTTAATGACAAGACGGTAGTCATTATATGACTTAAATAAATAAATAATAATATTTTCATTTAATGAAAGTTTATTGCTTTTGGCCCGAGTAAGCCATGTCGTGAGCTTCAAGTGACATGCTTCGTGCATAATGATGAGACACTGTCTCGGACTCGTGACCACTGTCTCCACTGCTTTGTTGTGACTGAAGGAGTTTCTTTAGTGCTATAATACCGGACAGGACCAGAGCAATTTTTGCGACTATTAGTGCTTTCATGGCGATCAAACCAATCATTTTCATCGCCATCGGTCCCATAACTGCAGCAGCCATCATACCAGCCATCATCATTGCTTGTTTCATGCCCTTGTCTTTCTTCTTACCACGACCTGCGAGATAGACAAATAATTTATAACGAGTACGGCTAAAGGTACATGGATTACACAAGTGAAATAATTATAACTGATATAATAGTACGTGCATTTGTATTGCATACGATTAATAAGTATGTTGTTTTAAAAATATAAAAGTTGAAATGACTATCTGTGATAAATGTTCACACGATATTAAATGGTGGGTTTTGGTAACAATAAAAACAATGTATACAAAATATGCAGTAGTAATAAAATTATTATTTGCTGTAATTTTTATGACAAAAGCAAAATAAAATAAAAAAATATTGTTTTTGAAGAAAAGAGTTCATTTCTTTGCACAAGAATTTATCATTTTTTGTATTTCCTACGTGGTGCAAATCGGTTTTCGTGTTAAGAAAGTAATAAAAAATTGCTGCTTTATTAATTTTTTATTTATCACGGATGCGATGTAATTAATGAAAACCGGTTACGGCTGTCAAATATTACTATAATTTATCACGAGTAATTCTCCAGGTACTAGAAAGTTTCAAGACTAGTTTCAGGGACTTACTCCGAAACTATATCCACTTGATGATCATTACATATACTAAGGGGACCCAATCCTATCATATATGATATTAATTACAAACAGTATATACATTTCTACTGGGATTTCTAAACATAGTCGTCTAAAGTGTGGATCGCTTTTCATTATTGATTTTTTTTTTTTTTTTTTTTTTTAATAAAATTGTAAAATAACCAGGGTATATTGTAGACGGCAAAGAAATTATTACTGGTATCGTAATCAATTTTATAACTATCCGGTGAGTGGTCAAAACAATTACATGGAGCATCAGGCATGATCAGTATTGTCGCGGTCGGTGGGTCCAGTTCACGCTCTCTGATACACATAACACGTATGTGAATTGAAACTTTGTAGAGCGATTCTTACGAAAAAATAATATCTAATCAGCTATAGGTATGAACAACGACTAATTAATGGATAACTAGTTTAATGCTAAATAAAATAAAAATAAAAATACGGTAAAGACCCTTGTTTAAATAAAGAGCTTCTAGGAATCCTACAGAAAGGATATTATATTACCATAAGTTAACTGGTCCAATAATATATTTTGTCTGTAGTATTAAAAAATACTTAAAACATTAGTCATATTTTTCTGGTAAAATATTGACGAAAAACCGATTTAAATATTGGAAACTATTATACTTCAATTTTTTTGTGACAAATCAAAAACATATCTTCGTATACACATTGTAATATTTACCAATAATTTTTAGTGACATAATAGAATTACCAATAAAACAATAATTATAATACTACGATTTTAGTTTACAGAAAAACAAAGAAATAACATTCGTTTTTTTATTCGTTTTACCGCAATACGTACGTGCCATAAATAAGTGTTCAAAAACGTACGTTAGTGTAAACAATGAGCTATATAACGTTAAATATATTACGCACTCAGATTTATACTTTTGGGACTCGAGGCAAACAATAATTGAAGGCCCATGCTTTGTATTAAAATTAGTTTATAGTATATTCAACGTGTCTTTAAGTATCTTCATTCAAATACTGATAACTCCTGTCATTAAGTTTCGAAGAAATATTTTAACAGTAGTTATTATTATTAATTATTATTAAAATCCAGTTTAGGATACTGAAAAATGTTGTAAGTTACATTAAAACGATCTAAAATGTTCTAAATATAAAATGTATAGTATATACCTATTTATAATTTGCAAATGTTTTATTACACTCCTTTTGCTACGGACATGTTTTTAGCAATTGATCGACGTCTTCAGAAATATTAAGAAGAACAATTTTTATTCGGAAATATCCTTGAAGTACAATTTTAGTAGTATCAGCTCGGCATGATCATTTATTGATAAAGATTCTTTTCGGAATATATACGTTGGCCATATTTTTATTTAATTACGGAACTTTAGCTGTATAACAACATTCTGCTTCAGTTTTTCTAACTAAATTTAAAAAATGCGCTGCACAAGGGACGCGAAAAATTAAACTATTTTGATCAATTATTTTATTTTAGAGGCCATTTATATTTTACATTTTTAAACGGTGACACATTGCTAATAATGGTAAAATTGTGTAGATACCAGTAATATTTCAAATATAAAATACATAAAAATATATACAACACAAAATTGTATGCTCCAGTAATTAATGGTTATTATGATTATTATTTATGAAATCTTAATGTAATGAAAAATTATTGCATACTACATAAATATTTTCGTAAGATATTTAAAAATTACCATGATTCTTTTTATTTAAATTTTTTTTTTTTTAAAAAATGTATTATTTGTTACAAATTTTGGAAGCCCTTCTTAAATCCGGCTCTGACGTACTAATATTTTAACGATTTCGATATAATGTTCCTAGGTGAATGACGAATACCAATACATTCGATTTAGTATTTATATTAAAATTATCTATCTAGTTTTCTCGGCCCAATCAGGTATTATATTGCATCGCGTTCTAATATTAAAAAAGAGCCTATATATTTGGTCGAATTGAAGGTCGAAGAAAAACTATAACTTTAAATTGCTATATCGTACAGAAGATGAACATTACCTTCTTCGCCAGCAGGTTCTTCTAGTACGATGCTCCTGGAGGACATGAGCCTGTCAATCCGGGAGGCCAGCATGTCGTCCAACATGGCATTCTTGTGGTCCGAATCCTTGGCCGCATCTAGAGCCGCACGGTCGGCCTTCTCTGCTTGCGAGTCGAACATCAGAGACTTGCCGGCGCGGGCCGATAACACCAGACCGTCGGCGACCGTCACGGTGGGCTTGCTAAGGGCTCGGTCCAGAGCTGTCAACGCTTTGGACTTGAGGCACACAGCGGCTGGTTCGGCCGATTCGTCGCCGGCCAAGCAGTCTTCCAACACCGACCACAGGACCGTACCCAGTCCTCCAGCCGTAGCGGCACCACCTCCATCTTCTGAGTGCTGCTGCAGCTGTAAGGGTATAGAAGACGCGAGACCGGAAATGGCGACGAGAACGAAGGCGCGTTGAAAATAAACTACTGACGAATACATGGCTGGTGCTGTTGAACGTGTGCTCGATCGGGTAAGTTCCTAACACCGTTGGTTGCTAACTTGACCGAATGTACGTGTGATAGTGATGTTTCCAGTCCGGCGTCCGACGATTTATATACGCGGACGTGGATGCGTGCGACCAGAAAACCGTGAAATTAATTGACCGTTTTCACTCGAGACTACGGTATTTCTTTGTCCCTGTGCCCCATACCTGTGCGCGCAAAAACCATGACCTCTTAGACGTGTTATATTGAATTGTATATATTACCACTGGCTAAGCCCGATGGTTGGGTTACGTTCTAGACGAAATGCATTTAAACATGTATTCCTATAGAAACCTCAAAACGTACAATATCTATCGGAGAAAACACAGTTTTTTTTTTTTTTTTTGGATACGTTCAATTATAATCGGTAGCATGAAAATCTTACGAGCTTCCAAATGAAATGTTCTATTTCCATTTATTAAACATTTCAGACGACGTATAAACATTTTATACTATTCATTATCAGAAGTTATAACATTTATATGTGTACGACGATTGATGTTAATAGAATATGTATAATAATATTTTATTATACTTGTTTCTAGCTGAATTAATAGTATGGGATATATTTTATCTGTTTTAGATTTGGACAGTAAAAATGTTAATTAATGTAAATAAAATTCTAGGTCGAAAAAAGGCACAATCACAATGTATTCTAATGACTTTTATCTTAAGTTGATATGTCTATACGTCATTTAAATAATATACCTAAATCGCTATTTAAAATCAATATACTAAACTAAATAAAAATTTCGTTGGAAGATGACTAAAAATTAAAAAAATTTAGATATTTAGCCCAGAGGTCAAAACTTTTTAGACACATAAAAATACGATTTTCAAAAATAATTTCTTAATGTGTCTACACACATAGTTATAAGTGAATTCCATCGAAATTTCATATGAATCGATATTGTTTTTTTGGCTATAGGCTGATCAGTGAACTAATGAATGATATTTTAATTATATAAAATCGATAAGAGAGTACTCTGCATAAATATTATTTGAAGGTCATAAAACAAAAATAATAATTTTAATAATAGATATAAAAAAATAAAATAAAAATAAAAATAGTCTAGTCTTTTCCCCTTGAAAAATCCTGTTTACTTCAGGCATGCCATAGATTTTCTACCGTAAAATAATATAGTATTATTGTTTTTCAGTTCGAATGATTGTATACATATATTACAACCATTTGTTTAATTACAAGAATAATTCTACACTAAAATTAAAATGATTTATTTCAATTGTTCTATTTCATTTAATTACAATTATTTTATGCTTTTTATGTTTATAGCCATTTTAATAATATCTTGAACAGTTTTAAAAAAAAATTTTTTCTCTTTTCCCTTACTGATTCATCAGTAATTTTATCAATTTTAAAATACATTTAAACAAACAGATATGTGACATTTTTATGTGATAATTGTTTTTTATTTTTATATACTTACTACTTGAGCATAAAAAATAAATATAAAAAATACGTAAGCAGTGATACATGGTATACTCAAATGAACTAATTTGTAATCATAAATAAAACGGCTCATTTATTGAAGTTTGCTTTTAGTATAAATTAGTTTAAGAACCAAAAAGGATGCATCCCAATACCAAAGTGTGTTCCGATTTTAAACAAAGGTAAAAACAAACTGGTATAAATAATTTAGCAATTTCTTATTATTTCAAGCATATTATGTTATTTATTTACTAAATATTTTAACAAGAAGAAAAGAAACATGGATGATTTAGTATAAATAATATTTTATTAAAAGAAAACAAAAATTTATATATTGCTCACTATATTTATTTGCTTTCAATTGAAATAACATTTGTGATGTAAGTAAATTTATATTACTTTATAACACTTATAATATTATACACAACTATTGATAATTGAAAAAAAAGAAAAATATTGGGTTTTGAATTAATTAATTAATAAACTAATGCCATTAGTAAGTAACTGGTACAAATGTGTATTTTACAAATACATTCAATACAGGCAATTATAAGGCATTGGATTAAAATCTATAACTATCGAAGAATCAAATTAATATATTTTGGTTAATATCTACTTTATATGGTATTAATGAGCAGAGTATTTCAATGGAAAACTGTCGATTCCGCCAGTATTGACTTCACCAGTAAAGGTCATCTAAAAAAAACCTATCTACTCCGTTCCAATTTTAGTATATCTACTGTTGAAGCAAGTATTCAATTACAATACAATTACAGAAGATTCTCATCGTCTCAAACATCAAAAGAAACAAAAAAAATGTTCAATAAACAATACATTTATATAAATGTTGGTAAAATTGGAAAATAATATTAGCTAGGGTAAATATCCAAGTTGTTTTTAAAATAGTAAGTCTAACAAAAGTTAACCCTACAAATGTAATTTACTCATAGTTTATGACATGGAATTTTCAAACCACAAAATGCAAATCATGTGTTTTACCGAGAAAATTTTTCTGTGTATCATAAAATTAAAATTAGAAAACATTTAATATTTATTTATTTATTTATTCATTGTGATCTATAGGGTCTAATTTCCTATACATATAAAATATACTACTTGAATTTTTGATTTAGATTATTATACCAATTTTCGATGTCAGAAAATAAAATAATCCTTATGACGTAGTAGAATCTAAAATACGAGTATATCAAATCTAAATAAGGTAAGTCGTAATTTAGAACACTTATGTCAACTCATTATTATTATTCAGCTCACTAATATACTCGTATACTTGCAACATTACACTCTAGATCAGTGATCGCCAACTGATAGTCCGCGATAAAATGTTGAACTTCATTTGAAATTCTATAAATCTATGTTTTTCCGATCGACGATCATAGAAATATGATAATCGATACCAATATTATATAATAATGTAATAATTATTAACGCAATGGAAAAAACCATTAAGAAAAAAAAATCATTTACTATTATTTTATAAATGTATTTTTATTATTAATAGAAGAATTATCAGCCGAAAGCATTGATAAAAAAAAAGCTGTAAATTAAAAATCTCTGAATAAAAACCTAAGACCTTGTAATAATAAATACTATAAACACTAACTCTATAGAGGTCCATATATTTAGAGCTATAGATATACTGGTCCGTGAGACTTAATAGGGTGGCAACCACTGCACTGGATCGATATGAATAGTCTTATAGCCTTTTCGAATCTTTAATTATTTATTTAATTTAAGAAACTATAATATTAATTTTTCTCAATAACTTATTATTAAACTACTCAACTATTAAAACTTACCTTTGTTAGTGCAAGATTATTCTAATTAATTACACTTTGATTGCTTCAAAACATTATCTATATATTTTTAAACTGTTCAAACTTAAATTAAAAAACCTATGTTAAATATAATTTGTAATTTATAATCGCCAACTACGTGGATATTTTAATGGAAACACAAAAAAAAGCGTCAAACAAGAACATATTGAAGAAATTAATTGTAAGCATACAAGTATATTATTTAAATAATGCATGAAAATAAATATTAATACAATGGTTAACTACATATATGATACTTATAGATATTAAATAACAATTTTTGTAAATGATTTGAACGGGAAATAAATATAACTTTAGATATATTATGAAACCATAAATGAGTTAATTCATGTTAAAAATTCTATATAAATAAATGATAACCATTGGAAGAACATCAAATGTAAAATTTTGATCAGTTGTGTACAAAAATAATAATAATTTATATTAATCAAAATACATGCAGTTATTTTATAAGTGATAAAAAAAATAATAAAAAAATAGACATCATAAATAATTACTCATAGATTGAACAATCCGTTGTTGACTCGTAAACAAATTGTTCGACAATGACGAAAATGACTTATAATTACAATTACAAATTATAATAAATTAAATACAGCTACGATTTTGGAGGTAGTAGCATAAACGTTTATTGCTTTTGACTTGAGTACGCCATGTCGTGAGCATCAAGTTTCATACTGCGGCCCCAGTGTTCATGAGACTCGGATTCTTTACCACCGCCTTTTTGTGGTTGGAAAAGTTTCTTGAGCGCTATGATACCCGACAAAAGCAGAGCGATTTTGCTGAGCAGCAAAGCTTTAACGCTCAACAACATGATCAATTTTATCATCATCGGACCCATGACCGCAGCCGCTGCCATACCAGCCATCATCATAGCTTGTTGCATACCTTTATCTTTCTTCTTACGGCCTAAAACAAAAATAATTATGGTTATTAGTAAAAACTTTTGTAACATATAGATGAAATAATGCCTAAGCATTTTGTTTACTCTATTCTATTACACAATACAACCATTGTTCACTAGTATTGTTCGTCAGTTTCACTAACATCTTGTAATTTATAAATCGAATGGAATAAAATTTATTCAATTTTGAACTTAGGATTCTATTTAACCTATTACCAAACTAATTATAATTATAAAGATTACAACAGAAAAAGTTCCGTATAGCTCGAAGATAAATGTTCGAAAAATAGTAGACTAAAACTTGCGTTCTCTTTGAACCTCAATTGTAACTCCACCAAAGGTCATAATTATGATTTAGACTCCAGTCTAAAAATAAATTAACAAGACACGCCCAATTTCCAACTAAATAATGAAATTATAATTAGGTACGCCATTTAAACGTGAGTTACGGTACGATAGATTTAAAAACCAAAGTATAATTTTTAGTATACGATGAGTGTGTAATTAATATCTAATTTAACTAGGTACATGATTAGCGAAAATATTACTTCTCTTCCTAGCTACTGAGCATTACTAATCATCGCTTAAATATCATCCACGCATTAGATGAATTTTGCCTCAAAATAATGTTATATATTATGATTTTTCACGTTAAATCATTATTCTTTGATAAAACTGTTAAATAATAAACATCCCTGTACTTCTACAAATAATCTGCATTTTTTCATTGATAAATCTACACTCCTATACTTTAATATATAATGTAGTTTATTGGTCTTACGTTACAATAGTTTGATCGCAAAAGTTACAATAGTAATAAATCACAAACATCAAAAATTATAACGTAAAACCTTACACTAATATTGCGGCAATCGAGTCTAATTATGTGTTATCACAGATCACTTTCAGATGAAACGGTCTTAAATAGTATTACACGTTAGGCGCGATTACACTGTTTTATATAATAAACTAAAGTCGTGATTTTTTATCGTTTCATACACGATATAAAATATATACGAGTATAAAAAACAAAATGTCCATTTGAAATTTTAATACAATTTTTAAACACTTTCTCATACATTAATATAATACACATGAACAGATATTAATGTATAAAATACTAAAGTACTTGTATATTTGTACAATAAAGTATACGTAAAGTTATTATTTTTTTTTTGTATACCATTTTGTCAATTAATTTTAAATAACACCCCCCTTTTAAAATCCTTTTAAAATACCTAGCTACGCGCCTGTTACACGTATGATACGGTTTTGGTTGGTCGCGCTCCTTAGGTCCGAATTCAACACGTGAACATGTATACATATAATATGATATGTAAATATAAAAGATAAGTGATGAAAATTCTACAGAAAACTATTTTATTATAAATGTGGAGATCACAAATAAGTTTAAAAAAATTAATTTTCCGCTCATCAAAGATTTCATTAAATCAAATATCGTACATTTTCCCTGTCGTAGTCATCCAAATTGAGAACTAAGCATTAGTACGTATAAATTGAAATATGATATCAAAAATACTGTCAACATCTAAATATATATATTATGTACAGTCGATTTTGAGTTCATTTCGAGTATCAATTTCTATCGAGATATCACGCATTTTTATAAAATAGATTTTGTGAATAATTTTTAAGAAGCAAACATCATGCCTTCTTTATTATATTAACATTTTTTCCTACTTATATAAAATCAAAAACTTAATAAAGTATTTGAAGAAAAATATATTCATTGTATAATGGAATACATTTTTAAATTGTTTCACAAATCAACAGAATCATTCTAATGCGTACACAAAAAAATATTTTAATAGAGATTTTAGGTTTTACATTTTTATAATTATATATTCTACTCGTATTTACCACTTTTATTAAATATAAAAATATTTAAAAATTTCCCTACATTTCGGCAGGGGTTTGAACCCCTAAATCCTCCCGTTGTGTACGCGCTTGGAATCATCAAACCTATAATTTATCATATACTTCGTATTATTATCACTTTTTTAGTTGTAATTTGTGATTCTTGAATCATACATTATCGTATACAAAAACATCAATAATTTACTAAATTAACGATTATGTTACATATTGGTTTTTGGTACCATTACTCATTAAGATAAAAGAAATGCAGATGAATGATATAGTCATTTTTAATCCTACGATTTTCTATTAAATCTTTATATTGCTTTATTTCGGTAAATTGTTCAAGAAATATTTTTTTTCGTTTAAAGAACTGAAAAGCACAAGAATACGAACTTTCTTTTTATATCTAGTGACGATTATAAAAAAAAAATTAATAAATAAATAAATAAATACTTTTCGCGCACATACAAGAACGGAGTGAAAAAATGTTTTTAAATCGTATTGAAAAGATCATTCGATAGCTACGAGAAAGAAAAAAAAATTTCAAACTCAGCATTAAAACACCGATCATTATTACCGGAACTGGCTCTCTGAATAAATCCCGTACCGCATGATAATAATGATCTTTCGGCGCGAAAAGAAACATCTAAGCTAATCACTCGACTGTTCACTCCGAGACCGTAGTATACGTGCCACGGTATAATTATATATTCTAACGTATATAGGTCCGTGTGAACAGTGTGCATAACCAACCTACGGCACGTCAACGAACCGAGTCCCGAGCAGTACACGTGAAATGTACATACGGATGTCAAGGGATCTGCAGAAGAACGGTTAACTCTAGTAAATCTCTCTAGCACCAAGACCTAGCCCTAGAAACGATCACGGCTGCGGTTCTCAAAACGAATTATCGCAGACCGATCATTTCGCACACGATTTTTCACAAAGTTTTAATAATATTAATGATCGTCAACGATAGTTACTGAGCGCAGTTGATGCTCACCTTCCTGATCGGTCGGTCCGTCCAGTACGATGCTTCTGGAGGACATGAGCCTTTCCATTCGGACGGCCAGCATGTCGTCCAACATAGCGCTCTTGCGGTCTGAATCCTTGACGGCGGCCAACGCTTCACGGTCGGCCTTCTCCGCCTGCGGGTCGATCGTCAGGGACTTTCCGGCACGGGCCGACAGCACCAGACCGTCGGCGACCGTCACGGTGGGCTTGCTGAGAGCTCGGTCCAGGGCGGTCAGCGCTTTAGACTTGAGGCACACCACGGCCGTCTCGTCGCCACCGTCACCGAAACAATCGTCCAGCACCGTCCACAGAACCGTGCCGAGCCCTCCAACCGCGATGTCTTCCCGCTGCTGCTGCACGGCGGACGCAGCACCACCGAAAACGGCGGCCAGGCCGAAGACGCGGACCAAAGACGTTGCTGAACACATGGTTGTTGATACTGCGAACTCGGATCTCCTGTTACCGTGGTAGTGCACACGGCTGCCGGTGAACGCGATGTTACGCAGGTATGTGGCGTTGGACCGTGAGTGTAGACTCGACCGTCATCGGCGTGAATGTGATGTTCTCGACCAGTCGCCGGTCGCTTATATACACGCGTGCCGCCGCTGCGTGACCGGAGCACTGCGGACGTTTGATGGGCGTCTTCCGGCGCCGCGACCGTCTTTAGCGACACATCTGTGCCCTTAGCACGCATACATGGACCACCTTTTGATCGACCGCGCGAAAATATAGACCGTAAAACGAATACGGAATAATGATTTTCGGAAAGCTATGCGGTCCGAGAATTATACGCCGTTCATGGTACAACTGAAAATATTTTACTTTTTCTTTTTTTTACATTTATTTAATTTGTTCATCGAAAAAAATCTACGGTCTAGTGTACAAATAAAAAATACTTGAAGTATTTTACACTACGGTCACTTACAAATTATTTACCGAGTTTTCAGTTTTTAAAGATAAAATTGTCTTTGTTATAAATTTAGAATTTATATCTATCTCATAGGAAGTCACAAAAATAATTTTATGTATAATAATAAACTGCAGTGTTGCTATTTCTTAAGCTCTTATCGAAAAAAAGGCCTTACGCAATGGCTGACCACTGATTTATACAACAATAATAATTATAATAATACTAAAATAAATTAATTAATTAAATTCTCAACATAGGTATTAGTTTATTTTTATTCGGTGATTATTAGTTTGTTATGATTTAATCTTTATAAACATAGCGTTGTTTCGGTTTTCGGTATTTCGTAACATAATAAAATTATAATGGATTTTAAATATTACTAAAATCCATCTCTAATATTCGAAACTTAACATCTTAAGCTATAAAATACAATAATATTATATATTTATGAAAATATATAATTCCGAATTTCAATTTTCACTATACATCCGCTATTCCTTTCTACTCATGCTTTTAATAATATCCATAATGAAACGTACACTATTCGAAGAGTATTTTATTTTTCTTGAAATCCTTTCAGTAGTATCCTGTCAAATTAAGAACAACTAATAACCACTTGGTTTAATAGCTTAAATTCCAAACGTAAAAACACGTATTATTTTGGTCGAGTGATTTTAATTTTTTTTTTTTTTTTTGTTACGCGTGAAACTTAATTCTAAATGAAAATTTAAAACTCTAAACAAAATCTTTTTTTCCAAAAAATAAACAAAACTTTTACATCTGTAAAATTGTAATCGTATTTTTCAAAAAAACGATACCATTAGTATTAATTCCCAGAATTGGTAAAAATAGTTTAAAATGTATTAACAACTTTTTCATAGTCTTAATAATAAATAAAAAGAAAATCTTAAGACAGATACTACATAAAATAACTAAGTCTTTGTAGATGATGTTGAAATTTTAAAGGAATTAGAAAAAAGTTTTAAGTACTGATGTAATTTCAAGTCCTGTTTCATAAAAGTTATTCTTACCTAAAATAATTTTCTACCTAGGAAAAATTTTCAAAATATTAAATAAAATCAATTTATTAGTTGTTCAAGTTTTTTCATTTATATCAACTTAGATCATAAAATTGTTTTAATTAGTGATTATTTTATTGCTGTTGTTAGAGCATTTTCTGAATCACTATCTTTCTAATTATGATTTCAAACGTACATTTTTAAAATTAAAAATGTAATTAATTACAATACAAAACAATTATAACTAATATAACTAAAATAATTCGGCATGCAGTATTAATTAGTTTCATTTTAAATTTATCATATTCTATAAATTAAAAAAATTTATGTAGAATGAATAAAATTAATTTTATAAATTATTAAATAGTCACACATTTTTTTAATAATATAGACCTAATTTCTCTGAAAGATAAAAACAAAATTTTAAACTTATACAAAATTATGTAATAATGAATCTATTCATAAATTTATATGTATAATTTTATAATAAAATATTATTTTTGATTAATTCATTTATAAATATTATTTAATGTTTAGACTTGAGAATGATCAAATATAGTAGAATTTTTACTTTTACGATTTTAAATGATATTTTAATTAATAGTTTTAAAAGTAAAAAAAGAAATAAAAATTTAATAAAAATCTATGATCACAATTAATAGAAAGAAAACAAAAAATATTAATTTGAAAACTTTTAAAACGTATAAAATTTAATTCAGTATTATATAAATATAATAAATATATAAGTTAAATTTAATAAAGTAATGTACTGAAAAACAAATCAACAGTAAAAATAGAAAATATTTATGAAAAATTGAATTTGAGATATCATCTTAGTATACTTATCTCTGAGAAAATTGTTTTGTTAAAATATGATAATTGAAGACCACGAGTTCATAAATAGTTCGATAGTCACTTAAAATGTCTACGAAGGTGTAAATTATTAAGGTAACAATGAAACAGTCTAGTGAAACTGTTAATAGAAAATATGAGAAGTAGAAAAATGAAATTATCTAATACAACCTACATTTATAATAATTATATATCATTATTAATGAATCACATAGTCCTAGACTTGGTGCTGAGATGCACATTTCAATTTGAAATCAACCAGACTTTGTAATGGTCGAGTAATAAAATAACATTATTTTTTAATTAAAATGCTTTCATCCTCGATTTTATCAACACTTTATTAGAAATGTTTAAAAAAAGATAAACTTCAATGTATAACTCGTCTCAGCGTGATCTATTTAAATTAAAAAAGTTTTATGTTTAAATTTTTATAAATCAATTTGATCACTTATTGATATGTTATTGATTGTTGATGTAGTTTTTATCGATTTTGAAAACAAAATGTGTTTAAAAAACTGAAGATTACTTTTCATTTCCCAATGCATTTCTTTAAATGGATTAGAGACGTACTATGTTTTAGCATAATTCTTATATAAAGTACCTATAAACCAAATTTAGTATATCCTTAAATTAAACATTGTTTAATGTTTTTCTATTTTCCTTACTCTATCAAAACAATTTTTATTTTAATTTAATATTTTTTTTGTTTTCTAGGTCTTCGTTTTTTACCAATGTATTATGTTGACCAACAATCTTTAATACCATTTGTAAATGTACAGAGTTTCAATACAAACATTGATTTTTTTTCAACTTCTTATGGTAAGATATAAATATTAATGTAATATAAGAACGTAAAATAAATAATTCATAAGACTGGATAGAAATTAAACAAAACATACATTAAGTGAAACTGACATAAAATGTACATCAGAAGAGTGGAAAGTCATAAAAATAAATATTAATTAAGATATGTTATATTTTTAAAATTAGTCAAACATTTTAACTATATAATAATAATAGTATACTATTATTACTATAGTAATAATATAATACATTTATTGACCAATAAGTAATTACAACCAGTGGCGTATTTAGGAATTTCAGGATAGAGGCAACACATATTTTCCCCCACTAAAAAGAAAATGTTGTTACCTACTAATTATTATTATTTATTAAAACTTCTATTGATTGCTAGATATAAAATATAAATACAAAATTAAAATATTTTTCTTCCTTGATTCAGAACCAGCAAAATCATTAATTATTTATTCAAAATCCAATGAAGTGGTTATTTCAGCTGCAGTTATTAATACTGGTAAAGCCGAGCAGCGGTTTTTAGCCATTGTAGACCGTCAGTAGCTTTTATTATTTTTAATGTGGAAAAAGAATGCTCTACAGTACAATTTGTAGATTGTGTACACAACAAAATACGTAAAGCTACTTCAACATAGGGATGAACACTAATAAAATTATGTTCTCTTATGAACCGTAACATCTGTATTGTTGTAAACTAAACTTTAATGTTTTTTATATAGCTTTGAAATTGTACACACTCATTTACATAACATGTTGCCAAATCATTTGGGTAAGTTGTGACGGTGTGTAAAGTATGAAATAAAAATTGCCCGCTCTCCTAAATCTTTAAAAATTTTCCGCTCGGGGCAACGGGAACCATAGCCCCTACCTAAATACGCCCCCGATTACAACAATAATGTACAATTACATAATACATTAGTAAAATCAATTTTGAATTATGGATCAATTAAATGGAGTTCATACATCAAATTGGTTATTTAAAGCATTTAACGAGTTAAAAATCAATTCTTAAAATGTAGCATTTAAACTTAATATTCCCATAGAAAACCATGACTACAATCTAACTAGATCAGTTTTGAATATTCACACCTTATTATTACGTCATGAATTATCGGATATAACTTTTATATACAAATCAATTAATGTTCACATATATTCTCCTTCTCTTTTAAACTTCGTTCTCATTAATATCCCATCTTATAGTAGCCGTTCTATTCCGCTTTTTTATATTCCATCTTTCAGCACAAACTATCTCACTAACTTCCTATTTTCTAAAGCCTTATCTCTATGCAACAAGTATCCTAACAATAAATTTTTCTTTTCGATTTTATTTAAGATTTTCAATTCTTATTATATCTAAATCATCAATGTTTAATTTAATTTATTTCATTGATAAATTATATGATAAATTAAGTTTATTTACATTGTGTTTTATTTTTATTTATATATACTCGTATATAATAATAAACGTATATTTTATACATATTTGTTATTACTATAATATTTACATACGATTGTTAATATTTGACATAGTGCACATTAACTTGTACCATTGGGCCTTGTCCGATTTTATTCACTTATATATGAATTGAATAAATATTATTTGTATTATTATTATTAATGCTATAATACGGAATACAATTAAATAGCTCATCTGATCACTGAATAAAATATCTTATGGGTGATGATAAAGTACTAATAAAAACTATATAAATATTTGTAAATAAATTATTTCCCAATTTTTTAAACTGAAGTACAATGACGAATCCTGTTTTACAAAAAGGAAAATTCCAAAATGATTTCGATTTATTACCATATAAATTCCTTTTTACTTCATAAAGACTTAGGTTTGTCTCAAAAGAGTGTGGTTAAAAATTTACTGGTGTTAGTTATAAGTTATAATTTAATGTAAATTATAAAACTTATATAAAAATCGTTTATTTGATGTAAATTAAATTATAATAAAATGAAATAAAATTTTAATGATAAAAAATATAAAAATATAAAAATGTATATATAAAATATATAAACGTCAAAATTGTTATAGATTATAATACAATTACTATACAATGTAATTGGACACGCCACGTATTTAACAATAAATAAATAAATAATTTAAACTTATATGTACCTATTTAAATCACTTAATACTGTATATATTGATCATTAGCCGTCAACAGAACACACGCTATTCATTAGATATAAATACCTAATACACGCAAGCAATGGGTGATTTCGATGCTCGCCAAGTTCACAGTTATGTGAGATTGAATTTATAAATTCTAATATTTATAAATACAAATCTATAGATTTAGAATGTCGATTTTTAAGGTATTTCATTTTTTCAATTTTTTTGTCAACTATATGATCCGTTAAGGAATTTATATATTTGTGAATCCTTTTTCAGTGGGAGCCGTTTGGAAATAAGCAAATAATGGATGGGAGCCGTTTAGGATGCACCGGTAATTATCACTTCATCGAGATAAGTATTTATTAGTATTATTAATTAATTATTATTCAATAAAATTAATTTAAAAAAATATACAATATCACAAACTCAAGTTCAAAACTTTGATCTTACAATCGGATCATACAAATAGTATTGCCTTGCCACTTGTAATATCACCTTATGAACAAGCGTTCACATAAAAATAACAATAGTTCGTGCTGTTCGAGGTGACATTAAAACCTTACATGGCACTGGGTATATGTCACGATTAACAGCATCATAATACTATCTACGCGTTTACGTATCACGCCTCATTTATTCCACGACATCGACGTCTCACGAAATGAACTTCCTGTTCACCAACCTCATTCAAATCCTTGTTGTCAAGTTCTCTTTCGTGAAATGCACGAACAGAAATATTTATACTTTCTTATAATATATGTACAATACATATAAGCTACCCATGTATACGTTGATAAAATACTTGAATCATTCTCGCACAACATGATTCGTACATCATATTTACTTGCGAACGACATGAACATGCAAATGGTGTAATGCAAAACTAAGTAAAAATCTAAAAATGCTGCAGTACGAAATGTATTTCACAAGGACTAGTACTTGGTTAATTAAATAGTTATTAATTTGATTTCAAGTGATTTTAACTCGTATAAAACTATACCAACATTCCAAAATATGTTAAAATTAATACTAATATTTATGTTCAATGTGAATAAAATTATGTTGTTTAATTAAACGTTTTTTCTTCGATACGCGAGTTAGATGTTAAAATGATAACCACGGCTTATTAGAACTGCACGGTCGCCGCCTACGCCGTCACGGCAAGCAGATTCTAAGACCTACATTATGAGTTGTTACCAGCTTATGATATATTACCTAGGCTCGTTGGATTAACGTTATTATACTATTTACGTTTTTTTTTTTTTTTAATCGCGTCGTGTGTACAACAAATGCAATTTACTAGATTTTAATTGGTATCGCCGTGTACATTTACCATACATGCATTCTCACTGATATTATACCTAGATTCGTTTGGAAGTACGGGTGTTCAGTGAAAGGTATAATGCATATTTATAATGAAAATAAGTGTTTGTATCACGAAAAATTATATGTGAACATTAATTTAGAGGAAATTTCTATTTCATAAAAATGCACGTGACTTAAATATTTATTTAAATCAAACAATACGTGTATATGTTTTCTTGCGACAAAACAAAGTACCAGAAATTTCTTCTTTCGGATATCATACGAATCATAGTCATATGTTTTTTGAAGTATATAATTGCCTCTCATAACAGGTAAAGAACAAAGGTAAGAGTACAACAACTTGATTTGTATGCGGTAAAGATAAGAGCGGATACAATTTTTATCGTCCACTACAATTGATTACCTGCTTACGAGAAAAATAATATGTGAGAAATAAATTATTTAAAGAACAAAAGTATTATGTTCAAAAAATAATTGTTAGTTAACTTTTCTGCACATCACAAGACTGAGTAAAACTAAGCATTAAGCGTTTATAAATCCATGTACAATATATCATAATATGTATGAACAATAATTTATTTTTAAAACAAAATTGTATTTCTACAATTAATATAATCATAAAAATAAAATAAATAAAATGATTATTTGTAATATAAGATAAAAAATACAAACAATCATTGTATATTAATTATGCTAGAGGTTTTGAAATGTCGTCAGTTCATATCGCACGACGAAACCAAGCTGAATTTTAGTTAAAAAAATAAATAATAAATACAATCCAATCATGTTTATTGCCTCTGACCCGAGTACGCCATGTCGTGGGCGTCGAGTTGCAAGCTACGGCCGTAATGATGGGACTCAGATTCATGACCGCTTTGTTGCGGTTGAAGTAGTTTCTTGAGCGCAATAATACCGGACAGGACTAGAGCGATTTTGCTCAACAAAAGGGCTTTGCCGGCCATCAACATGATGATTTTCAACGCCATCGGACCCATCACCGCAGCGGCCATCATACCGGCCATCATCATGGCTTGTTGCATGGCTTTGTCCTTCTTCTTGCGACCTGCAAGTCGAACGAACGACGCGTTATTAACATCATATTATTTACACTTACACAAATGGTCAATACAAAAAAGTTTTTGCACGCGCACTGAGAATTGTTTGTCCCTTATTTCCAACGGGAAGTGTTTTTTTTTTTTCTTGTGTACGAAAGGTGCTGTATTCGGGTACATATTACGGATGATTGGTGTGTATGGAGATCAGTAAACGAGACATTATTATGCAACGCCGTAAATTATCACCAGGTCTCTCGGCTCTTGGTAATCCAAACGTTTGAAAAAAAAATTGAAGAATAATAATATCGAAACACTATTATTTCGCACGATCGTCGTGTGTTAGGGGCAGCGCGAACGGAGGAGACTTGAAGCCGCAACGATTAAATGACACAACTAGTACAAACAAACACACACACACACACACACACACACACACATACACTTGTCAAACCGTGTGCTGAAATGCGCAAAAAAGTGTTTACACGTTGCACCAAACCATGGTGGCCATCGTCTGCGTGTGGGCGCAGTTGACAATGGTAATCGCAGACGTTGCGGCGGCGCCTGCCAGCGGTCGCGGTCCATCGATGCGTCACGCACCCGTTATTCTGCGCACGACACGGGTATAACCGCACGATAGCGTGGATTCCGACGAGAATTTTTTTTTCCATAAATATATAATATGTGTTGTATGATTTAATGTCATCAACTAAACTGCGACGAAAACGCAGAAACAGGTGATTCGATTAATGGTTCGGTAAAAGGATATGGCCGAGTTCGCAAGTGCCACATGGCATACGTCTGCCAATGAAATCCTACGACCGTGTAAACAACAATATTTCTCGCGGACCTAGTCTCGAATAGATTTGATCAACTCGACGAATAAGCTTATAGATCGTACCAAGCACTGTAAAAAAAAATTACTGGAAACTACGGATACCGATACGACCGAAACATTGCGAATCATTATTAAAGTATGTTAACGAGAAACGCACAACACACAATGTACAAATATCATCGATGGTGGATCCGTAGACATAATCGTGTTTCGATCAATTGTCATTTAACGATTAGATTATCTTTTAACTTATTTTCAAACGAAATTTGGAGATGTATGAATTCAATAAGTACGTTTATGTAGTAGGTGCGGTGAAATAATATTTTGTTAATAACTTTTAATTTATTGCGGTAAAAATTATTTTAAAGAAAGTTTCTCTCTTGTTTTGTATTACGGTATGTTAATTTCTGAAAACCTATAGAGCTTATTCAAAGCCACAAAAAATAGCCCATTTAGTAAATATTTTAAAACGGTACTCACCTTCTTGGCCAACGGCGCCGTCCAACACGATGGTCCTGGAAGACATGAGTGTTTCCATTCGGGTAGCCAGCATGTCGTCCAACATGGCGCTCTTACGATTCGAATCCTTGACGGCGTCCAGAGCTGCGCGATCGGCCTTCTCCGCATGCGGATCGATCGTCAGGGACTTGCCAGCCCGGGCGGCCAGTACCAGCCCGTCGGCGATAACCAAGGTCGGTTTGCTAAGGGCCCGGTCCAGGGCGGTCATCGCTCTGTACTTGAGGCACACCGCGGTCGGTTCGTCCAAGTCGTCGCCGCCCAAACAGTCTTCCAGCACCGACCACAGAACCGTGGCAAACCCTCCGCCGACAGCGGTATCAACGCTGCCTCCACCGCCATCCTCTCGCTGCTGCACGGGCACGGAAGATGCGAGACCGACTAGAGCGAAGGCGAACGTGCAAACCAGCGACTTCATTGCGACTGTGTGTGGTGACATGGCACGTGCGAGCTGGTTGGACTTCGGGTTGCCTGGGGTTCGGTATTTGCGTATGAGTGATGCGTGTGTTGTTTACTTTACCGACTGCGACGTGGATCTGGTGACTGCGATCGGATCGCCTTAAGTATATAAGCGCGTACCGTGTCCGGGCACGTGCGCAACCGGAACGACGTGAAAACAACAGTCCCTGCGCGACGACGGCGGCGGGAAATGTGGTCGGCGACAACTGGTGACGCTATGATGGGGTGGGGTCGGGGTGGGGGGGACGCACGACGTGTGACCAACTGACACAGTAATAAACGCGAGTGAAACCGTTTTTCGCCGACCGCGGCGATAAGCTCAACCCCCTTAACCGGCGCGCAACCGTCCCGATCGTAATTATTTGCATTTCGAATTATCAGACCGTGCGGTGGCCGCGCACGTACATTATACCTTGGCGCATTAAGTATCACCGCGGTATCCACACGCATGATGATTTTTACATCGGGCGCACCTTACCGGAAACTCGTACGGAAATCTCGCCTGTATCGCGTTAGGCATCATAACGCGCGTCATGATCAACCGCGCGGTGTCTTTCGCCAATACGTCCGAGCCGCTGAGAACGCGTAATTTGCGACTTTCCGCCGCGTCCGGTTTCATTGTTCCCGGTCGCCGTACACGGCAACGCTATTGTTATTATAATTACTAACGTGAGTTACTGTTGTTGTTGTCGTTGCTGTTATCGCGGTTCTGTATCGCACACCATTCGATTACAATACGCTCGTTGGGCCGTAAGCAATTCGCACCGTAATAACAGACGTGCAATTCGCATCATCTCAACTAGCTGCGTATACGAATATTCGTAATTCGCAATAAAATGTATATGGGGAGGGGGGGGGAACAGAATAATACGAACACCTGACGTATACGCAATTTATTTATTTACGTTAACTTGTTGATTTATTAATAAGGTGTTGGGCCACCGTCTGCTTTTAAAACAGCTTCAATCCCTCATGGAGTAGATTCGTAAAGGACCTGAGTGGTTTCCAACGGGATTTTGTCCCATTCTTCTACCAAAATATCCGCCAATTGCTTCAGTGACGTTCAGAGATACAGTACAAACAATATGCAACCATATTGCACGGTATTCATATTATTTTGTCCATCCCCTATGTATTGATTGTTGTTTCGATAGTAACGTGCAAAATATTGTGATACGAGAAGTTTATAGCACAAAACAGGTACTCCGTTTATAATCGGTTATTCGTTTATTTCGCTAACCTATTCACATCGTTTTAAATAATACGTCGGTATTGATTTCAAAAGCCATAGGATATTGTACACGATATTGTGATTATAGTACCTGGTATGATAAACGAATCTTTGGCATAAATTTATTTTCGTGTTACTAATAAATAATAAACCACTGCAGCGTAATATTTTATTGTATTCAAGTCTATTGCAAACCATAACCACGTTAACGAGGGAATAGAGAATTACAAACTCCCGCTCGTCAGGGCATTGGGCGAAATCTGCCATCTTTTCCGAGATTTTGTAAACTATAAACATCGTCATTCGAATAAACGACGAAAATGACAAACACATGGAAGTAAAAATACATCATCAAATATCTTGCTTGTACGGAATATAATACATACATTCATGTCAGTCAAAGTATAAATATCAAATAATAATAATAATAAATACTAACAAGTATTAATGTAATGTTGTATAAATAGTAATTCATAATCACAGTTTGTTCTGATAATGTCGTGGGTAGTGGCGTATGATTGTTAAATAGTCTTCGTCCAGTATTGGGATATATCAATAGCCAGTTTAAGATCTTCTTCGGTGCATGTGTACGTGGAGTCTGGGCATGCAAGTAGGTGGGATATATTTTGCTCTTGGCCACATGAGCAGGTCGTATAGAATATAAAGGAATACAATGAAAACAACAGGTATTTCGGTTCTCATTCAGTGACTGTGACCAATGTCAAGATTATTCGGCTAATGTCGTTTTCACCAAACTACGTAGGTAATACATTAAATTTCTCTCATATTATAGTAATTCGTATGCACGTCGATTTTCGAATAACTCATCGGGTCTGTATAAAAATTAACAACCATGTAAACTACACTTGTTCTAATACGATGTTAAACGAATATTGCGAAAATCAATGTTCGAATAATTATTTATTTTAATATATTTGGATGTATTAAAATATTAACTGTACATACCCATACCGAAAAACCTTTTACATTATAAATATAAAAAAGTGTCAACAAAGGAAGACTTGTCGCATATAAATAGATATCACTCAAATGATCTGTAAAAAATACAGTTTGAAGTGCTAAATATTTTGGTTTAAAATGTACATGAAATTATATTTTAAAATAATCTAAATCAAATAAAACATATTATTATTATTATTATTATTATACACGATTTATATTAGTCTAAACTGACCAGGTGAGTTATCGTATTAGATAATCGTGGATATTTAATATTTATGATTATGTGTTGTGGAATAATATTGTTTATATATTTAGTATCTTCATAATATTTTTTTGTACTGAACACTGGAACTCGATGGACCGGTACTTTTCTTACCTACCTATTGTGGATGGTAAAAAAAATTAAATTACAAATTATATATTATTTAAAACATAAGAGTATAATAATTAAAATCCTAGTATCCAATTATGTCATTATTAAATTATGAACATGTGGATATTTAACATGGTTAAGTTTTATTTCTATATATTTTTTTCCAAATTTATTATTTTTATTGGTGAGTCAATAAGTACTAATTGTCTTAGTGTCAATATAGACTAATGATGATTCGTTCAACAAAAAATAAAAAATTGCATTATCTTGCGTAATAACATTCCAATGTATTGTTATTATCACACATTTTTGTCTTTTATTTTTATAACATAAATTAATGAACAGTCGATAAGAACAATATTATTGTAACCGTAGGATCAACGACAACCGTTAGTCGGCCAACCTCAGCCGACTCATAGAGTATACTTATTTATAATCCACCCCTCACATTATAATAGGCTGGATCCGCGCCTGGTTGCTGATATATTTATTATATTAAAATACACCAATAACATTATAAAATATAACGATTTAAATGTAGAGTAAATTAACATAAGTACTTGAATAAACTATAAAATATAAATCATCCTGATCAAATTATAATAATGTAACAACTAAGCTACGTCAAAAGTAAGAATTAGTACCAAAATAAAATATGTTATTATTTCTAATCGTTTCTTTTCTAGAACAAACCTTTTCTAAAAATAATAAGTTTTACAATAAAATAAAAATGATACTTCTAATAATTTACATGAATTAGAGTCGAAAAAAAGGATTTTGGTGCCTTGCTCAAACTTTTGGGAAAATTAATGATATCCATATTAACTTTCACTTTTAATAATATAGTCACTTTTAATAGATAATAATCAACATGATTTTAGAAGAGTAAAAATTAATTTATTGTGTTTTTTTAATACTCTTATACATACTATGGAGTCTGATGGTCAAGTCAATATTATTTATATGGACTTCAGCATGACTTTCGACTCTGGAAATCACTCTGTCCTTATTACCAAATTACGCCTGTTTGGTATACATGATCCTTTATTATCTTGGTGTAGTCCTTACTTAAATCTCAATAAGTAAAAATTAATAGATTTTTATCTGATACATTTCCAGGCTCTTTAGTTGTTCCCTAGAGGAGCCACCTATCTCCGTTGTTGTTGGTTACCTTTATAATGGATTTGAGTAAATGGTTTAAATGTTGTAAATATTTACTGTTTGCCGATGAACTAAAAATGTTTACTATCTAATGTTTCTTCATTCAATGACTATAATTTGAAATTATCTAAACAGTTAGTGATTGGTGCCGTTCGAATGGTCATTAATTAAATATAGCTAAATGTTTTAAAATGTAATTTTTCCGTACTAGTTTTATAGTAAACTTTGGCTATCATATTAATGGTTACAAACTTGTTGAAGTCGATACATGACTTGATCTGGAGGTAGAATACCTCCAGACTAACTTATTATTCTCTTCTAATATTGAATATTTATGCTCAAAAGCACTCAGAAGTATTGGTTTTCATATTCGTAATACGAAAGAATTCAATAATGAAATTTGCTTTATAACTATATATTCCTCACTAATAAGATTTATTTTTGAATTATTTTCAGGTATATGGAGCCCTAAATAAATTGGGCTTGTTGAATCCCTTGAGCGTGTCCAAAGAAAGTTTTTGTGTCTAATTGGGTGTATGAAGAAATGGTCACGTAAATCAATAAATATCTATGCCTCTATTGTCAATCCAAGACAGTATTATTTTAGAATACTAGGCGTAATTATATAAATATTTATTTTATGTTAAAATTAATAAATTTAATTAATTAATAAAATATCTTGTCCGGATTTATTGCATTCATTAAATTTTAATGTTTCCCAATATAATTTACGGCACCCTCCTACATTTTCAATACCATTTCATATTACTTCATATGGATACAACAATCCCCTACATCGTATTGCTCGAGAATGTAATGAACTGAGAAATGTGGATCTATTTTATACACCTAATTTGTAGTCAATAAGCTAAGTTTCCTTAGTATGTTGTAATTATTTTTTCCATAGGCAATACTATTGATTTGTATTAAATTGAATTGTTATTTATCATCGTTATTTAAAATTGTACTTATTATATTATTTTCACATAATGTTGTATTGTTAACTTTATTATATTACTAAACTGTATTTGAGCCTTACTTGCGTTTACATCAATCATATAAAAATAAAAAATTGGCTAGTATTATATTAAATACTATAAAATGATTGCCTTAATTACACTGTCATTATAATATAATTATATCATATAGATCTAGATAAAAAATATATGATTATAGCCAACGAAACACATTGTTTTAAGTCCATATAACGAGAGAAAGTTTAGATGTTTATACAAAATTAAACGAGGAAAGTAGTTTATAACATTAAAATAATAATACATGTTTATTTTCAGTAGAGTTAATGCTAATAAATTAATATGAAATCGTCTGTTATTGAACAGCGCAATACAGTATTATAGTATATAATCATAGTATTATCCATAATAATATTATAGTGATTTATAAAAGACGAATTTTTTAAGTTTTTCAATTCTATAAATGTCAAATAAACGGAGTTGGTTTTTGTATTTATAATGCATATTATTTTATTAATACACTTATTATATTCTTCAATGTTAAAGGTAGTAGTTTCGTAAATCAAACTGTCGAAGAGCTTTAAATAATTAAAATCAAATTTTATTATCCGTTTTATTTAATTTTTTCTTCTCTGAATATCAATACTTCTGAAAAATGTAAATTTCAAAATTAGATTAACATATTCTCTACATTGATTCCATATTTGATTTTTTTATTTCAATGGTGATCTTTACTACGTATATTTGTTGTGTTCGTCTCGGAAGAAACGCACGCATTACTATAATACACAGTGAATAAAATACGCGTAAAACATTATTACAATATTTCATAGACTAACAATATTAATAATAATAATAGGTAATAATGAAAATTAACCACAAAATTTACTGTCGGAATATTATTAACATGTAAATGATTAATAACTTATCTAATAATATCAGTAGAGATAAAATATAAAACATAAAAAAAATCATTAAAAATTCTTGCCTGAAGTATTTTTCATTGCGTAACGAAGGCGAACATTTTATGAATGGCTTTAATTCAAACAGTCATCGTCGGGTATAAAAAACGCACTCTACAAATACTTTTATTAGGGAAAAACTATGGAAGAGTCATTGGTTCGGGGCTCTTCGATCGTCGTCCGCATTCGGCAGCTTTCGGCACCAGCGAGGGTTACAACCGAGAGGGTGGCTGCCGGCAAGGCAAGGGCTGTGTTTTTTTTTTTTTGACGCGCGTCAATCGTCGTTTTTCCGTGTGCCGTAACAGATGGCGAAGACAACGGGAAAACCAGCGGCAACGGCGGCCGATAGCGAGAAACCACGTGAAACGGTCGGTCAAATAATTGTGGCTTCGGCGGACGAGCCGTTGGTCAATGCTACGGACAGAAGGCAAACGGTGGTAGGCTGTCACCGGCAGACAGACAAACGGCAACGTTCCGCGCTGTCCGCAGTCGTCCTGTCTATCGCCATGGTCGTCTGCGCAGCGGCCATTGACTGGGAACAAACGACCGATGTTTGCCGTTACTGGATATCCATGGCCGTGGAACTTGTGTCTGTTGCAGACCAAAAGGTACCGTTCACTCACGAGACAAAATGTTTTCAAGTCGAAGAGTCGACATTCGCGGGTTACGATTTGTATTTTTTTTCCTCCCACGTTTCGGACCTTTTTAAGTCGGTTAACGTGGACGATAAATGTTTTCGTAATCGTTTTAAAATCTTGTAACGAATTCAAAGGCACCGCGCTGTAGATCACATTTTTGTGAAATGAACATTTAACATTTTCTAGTGCTAAAAGGGCGTCACTCGAGACATTATAACAGTATAACTGTTTGGACCGTTTTTGTATTCTTTCCTTCTGTGGGTTATACAAGGAAAATTAAAAGTGTTTGGATAAATAATTATGCTGTAGGTACTGCAGAAAATTGGTGGGTATAATAAACTGAAAGGCAAAGATAACTAACCAGGGGTTAAATTTAAAACAACAATAATAATACATGGTTACAAAGAAGTTCGGAGGTGAAAACCGTATGAAGTACGTCTATGGCTATATGATCTGTAGTACATTTTACGTGTACAGCGATTAAAATACTTATACGTATATTTTATAACTAGCGTATATGTATATTTTTTAAATTCCATCATGAATTATTCAAAAACTTAGGTAGTATTCGTGTACCAACCGTTTAAAAAAATTAACGTATACTACATCGTTTTTTTTTTTATTGTAGAAATCATGTTTTGCAGTAAAAAACAAAAGAAAAAAAAAGATTAATGTGTTGTATGCACGAATCATGTAAGTATGAGGACCGTCGAACCGTGCACGAAAACCATGTTGTTAGTAATATGAGCGAACAGTATGTTCTCTTTTTTTTCTCTCGTCCAATCCTTCTGGATTAAATCGGCAAGCAACGAGGAGGAACTGCTTCCGCTACCCGTAAAACAGATTTCTACCCAGATGCCTACATTTATTTTATTTTCAAAGTATTTCCACCGGTGTACTAGTAACAAGATAATTAACACCTAATAGCGAAGTGGTCGGATAATAATTAATTATATATTCGGTACCTTGAAATTATAATAATAATTTAAATCCGAAAATTATTGAATACGAGCTACTTTGAATATTTTAGCACATTATCACGTTTTCCATACGTGAAGCATACCTCCAACTACGATTAGTGACTTCTTATCATCACTTATTATACACCAAAAATAATATAAACGTGTTCAAACATCGTATTTAAAAATAATATAATAAAATCGCACCAAAAAAACATATTTAAATTAAAAGATATACTTATAGTATAAATGTATTCAAAGGTGGCCGCTATAACTAGGAAATAAGAGACGAGTAGATACATATAAGTTAAAATAATTTTACTTGAAACATATTATTTAATATTGATAATATTAATAATGATAATATTGTATTATTTATAATTCGTATTATTTCTGCAGTATTATTTGTATAATGCCTATAATGTTAAAAAATAATAAAACAAAAATAACTCTATTAGTTTTGAGTTTTTCAGAAGGTGGGTATAATATCTTTAGTGTACCTGAAAAATACATCTGAGACGTTATTAAATGTATTGTAATTAGTTACAATATGACTTAGCTTTATTGTTATCCGTAATCACTGTGAATATGATTAATATAAACACAATTTTCACAAATCGATAAAGGCATAATATAAATTATTTTTCGTTGCTAATTAAAATAATAAAAATCACTGACAAAAAAATTAATACCATAAAATATTACTCTATTATATACATGAATTGATTTAAATTTATTTACCTTTTGTAAGCATTTCTTAAGTTGAAGATAGTGAGTTAACATTTTTAACAATTTTATTCAATACGGGTATAAGAATTTTACTTTTAAGCTGTTATAATTAAAGTCATTCAATCAATGTCGGAAATATAAGGAAATACAAGCCTCATTTAGGCTAAAAAAATTATTTTTATGCCTCATGTACACTTTACTATGAGAAAGCCTTGATCAAAAATCTTTATCACCTCTTTTGTCAGAGATATGTAGGGTTCGGATTTTAAAGCATAATAAATAACAAAAAAGGCACAAAATTGTTTAAAAAAAAGTAAAAATGAAGCATATTTATTTAAAAAAAAAAGCATAACAAAAAATTAACATATATAACCTGACCAATTTAGTATTTTTCCCACTGTATAATCTAAATATGTGAAGTCGTGTCGTTCGGGATAATAAAAATATTTTGTTTTACATATACTTATACCGTACGTTATTATGGGATTATTTTTCATTTATTATATTATAGCCTTTCTAAAGTTACCTAGATCATAGTTTTTTATGAAGTATTATTTTCTAGCATACCAAAACAAATCCCATACAAAAAAAAATATAAAACAATTTTAGTTCTACTCTAGTCGGATAGAAGTCATTGTTTTGAAAATATTTTATTAAATTATATTAATAATAAAACGTTACATATTTACGAATATTTATCAGAACCCTCGGAACAATATTCTAAGTATAAAATAGTTTACCATCTATATAAAAAAATAGATTTCTTTTTTTTTTTTTTAATTTCGAATAATTATTTAAAACAAAAATTATTATCATCTATATCTGTATATTTTAGACTTGATAAATAAAACCAAATATAATGAGAACAATTTTCAATTAACACTGTACTTATTGAAATTTAATATCTTAGTATTTAAAACTAAGGTATTGATTTTTAATTTTTATACAATATAATGTAATTTGTCTTTAAATCTAATTCGAAATATTCGTTTTTTTCTTTTAAAATATACAAAAAATAAGTGTCCAAATATAGTCAAAATATAAATGTTGCAGTTCGCATAAATATTGTTGATACGAAAATAAAATATTATTACTTATTTCAAAAATATAATTCAACCGTATGAAGTATGCTTAAAGAAATAATGATTAAATGTGCTCCAAAAAAGAATAAACCATGAAATATTCAACAATATACTCCAAATTTCTAGCTTTATAATAAAGATAAAATATTAAAAAGCGTACCTAACAGAGCAATAAATCTCAACACCGCCAAAAACATGCATTAATATTAATTCTCGGACACAATATAATTATAAATAATTAAGATTAAAATTATACTTCTAAAAATCATATTCAATTCGTATATATATTTTAAAATAAAATACTTTTTAACATTAACTGGTAAAGTGTGTGACCTACTAGAAAATAAAAATAATAAATTATATACACAAAAACAAATAATATGTGATGCACTTATAATTCGGGTTATAATATTCAAAAATGATAAAATTAATTTATTATATCATAGTAATCAAAATAAATAATTTATTTTTAAGGCTCACTGAGTATTTTCATCATTTACGATAGTGTATTTAGCTTAAAATAATATTTAATGAGTTTTTAAATGTTTTTAAAACAAAAAAATCTACAACTGCGATCCTCTCTTAATAATTTAAGTTTGGGAAAAAGTCTGTTGTTGACGTAAATTGGAAAGAGAAAGCTACCCAAATTGTTTGTAAGAAAATGTTTTGTCATAATTGAATAAAGACGTAAGTATATTTTTATCGAAATTTATTTCAAAACAAAAGCTATAAAATACGGGTACTGTTAAAGAAATAATTATTAATGTAAATATATCTTAAGGGGATTTTTTTTTTTTTTTTTAATTGAAATTAAATCTGCTGCGTGAAAAATTTAAGACACCCATAACAGAACTAACAAATTAAAACTCTAAGCATTTTAAGACTATGTAAAATATCTCAAAGTTAGCTTCGAATGTAAATATCAAGCAAATAAACCAAAATGTAATAATTTTATCGAAAAAATATATAAATTGTTACTAGACAAAATCGTACAAAATTAATGCATTTTTTTTCAACTTATAAAAATCTGTTGTATGAAGTATCATACAATACTTTTATTATAGGTAAATGTTTTACTTGAAAAGTTGATCTCAGAAAAAGAAAAATATATTGTTGTGAATTCAATACATTGCTTGTAGTATATTTCAATGCTGTTGCTTATTCACAGTAATTAATAAGTTTAAAATTATAAGAAGAATCTTATCAAAAATATGGTGTAATATTTCAATACTTAATGTCAGGGGCGGGCCTACCTTTTTTTTATGAACTATTTTAGGTTATTTCGATAAATAAATTTTATTTTTCATTTATATCATGTTCATTACATTTGTTTTCTTAACGTAACACATTCTTTTTAAAACCTATTTTTTTGTTTAAATTAACTATACGGTGGACAAATTAATGGATACATCTAATGAAAATCGTAATCCAACCATTTTGAATTACAAATTTATATTAACATTTTTTAATTTCTATTTGTATTTTTGCTTTTTTACTTTCAATGTAGTTTAAAATTCGTATCGGTGCTTTTGAAACATAAAATGTATAATATACAAATAATCTTTATTTTGTATACACAACGTACGTTCAAAAAGTCGCGGCTTAGTATTATTATATTAATAGTAATAATTTAACCACAAACCCAACTTCTAATAATCACAATTAAATAAATCAAACTGTGTATAATTTGTGTAGCATTAATCTAGACAATTATTTCCCACTATGTATTTATAACCTAAATTTTACCAAAATAGTGCACCGTTACACAATTGCTGCTAATAGATTATATTTATTTAATTAATCAAAATATATTAGCAAGTTAACTAATAGATTCCATTGCAGTTTAGCGTAGTAGTTAGTATGGCAATTTATATTGACCTAACCTCATTATTATTTATAGAATTAATGTACTACGAGTATATACAATTATTTGTTGATTAATCTATTTCAATTATAATTGCTCGATGATTTTATCTATATAATGGAAATAACTTACCTGAACAATATAATATGAACTCTTAAATATATATTAATATTTATGTTAAATTATTGATAGATATTACGTTATTTTTATTATTTTTTTTTTTAAATAGTTATAACTAGTGATTGAAGATATTGATTACATTGTAAATCTAATTGTATGCACAACTCATCACATTCACAAATTATTGATAAATAACCTTAAAAATTGGTTATATTTATGTTTATTAAATATGATTTATATGTACCATAAAGTTACCATAAGCTATTAATCGTATTGTTTACTCAGTCAGGCAGTGCATGTGATAAAAACCACTTCGTCGATGCTACAAATATACACAACGGTAAATAATGTGCAAAGAATCCCATTAAAACCATTGAAACGGAAAGAAAAATCATTAATTTCATTGAAAGGCATCATATTTTATTCCATCCTAATGTAGAAACCATAAGGTGTCACATTTTTTTTTTCTTTAAAACTCAAAATTCATCATGTATTTAAATAAACCAGATCGGTACATCAATTAATGTGAGTTTCACTATGGTGCTATATATTAGCGAGGTAACTTTATAGAGAGAACTTAGGTTTTTTCCACATGTTGCTCTGCTTTAATATCAAATTGTTTTTAAAGGAAGATCATCGTTTGAATTCGTGAAGTGAAGTTAATAAGTTGATAGTAGTAGTATACCAGCAAAAATTAGCCCTCTCCACGATCTACGAAGTAATCATGGCTAAACCAATACGCAATATCCATCCAAGATTTTTTTTTATATACATCTTATACATATTAAGTGTATTAAAATGTTTAATTTAATATTATTATAATATAATACAATATGTATTTTTCTCCTTTTTTTTTTTTTTTGAGCATTTTAAATCACTTTCTCCGCCCTTTCCGTAGTTAACTTCTGGAACCTCGACCATCACAATAGTTGAAACACTTCATAAATCAATAATATATTTTGATTTGTTATAAAATATAGTATGATAATCTTATAATCAACACATGCAGTGTCTTAAGCCACGGGCCCGAAGGTTAGGGTCAGAGGCCTCGGTTTTAAAGGGCTCTAAATTTATAAAAATTACATTATATTTACAAAACAGTTTTATATTACAAGTTACCAAGTTAATAGCTAATAATAATGATTGGTGTGTTTAAAAAATACATGTATCATAATTTACTCGTATTTATTTAAAGATACCTGATATATATTGGGCCCTTAAGTTTGTGAATTTAAGTTGTGAATTTATGATTCTATTATCTTATATTATCACTATCTGGACATCATTTATATTTTCTAATACGAATAAACGATTTTATTTTGACTATGAAATTGTTAAAACTTATAATTATAACTAGGCTTAGGGACTTCTAGTATTTGCATACTTTTCTTAATTATTGTTAAATATAGCAGAGTGCGAAATAAATTTGTTTCTCAGTGTCATGATATCAAATCTAAAATTTGAATGTGCATATTTTTGCATACTTGATAGATTTTGCAGGAGAATGCATATTTTAAAATTTTTATGCTTATTTTGTATATTTTGATAAATTTTTTAAATTTAAAATTAAAAACTATAGATACATATAACTATATATATATATATTTCAACCAATCAAAAAAATAAATGTACTAAGAAGACTTCATACTTCCAGTAATATGCTACATGCAAACTACCTCTCATATCTGGTTATAATTTTTGTGTAAGTATAAATAATACTATAGACCCGTATCGACCGTTCTAATCTATCTAATCTATCGATCTAACCCGCTGGATATCGACCGGATATTGATATAGAATTATAGATTATTTGTTTAGTGTTCAGTTCAGTTGATTATTATCCGTCATTGTTCTTGAGTCTCGCAACCACACAACGTCGAATCATATATAAAACGTCGTACGAATATATTTTGTAACATTGTGTAAGGTCGAAAGTATAACAGTCTATGAGTAGCCGACTACAAAGTTTTGTTTCGGAGTTTAAAGATACATTTACATCCGGTGGACCAGGGGCGTATTTAGACTTACTTCTAAGGGGGGGGGCTCAAATTTTTTCTTTAATTCAGGCTCAAAATGTACAAATAAAATGTTTGGTAATATTTAAATCAGGTGAATCCTTAATAATTGTAGTTTTTTTTTTTTTAATTTAATACGGAATTCACTTAGAATCGACTTTTGTGTAGTTTTTTTTAACACCTGTCTGTGTTTTGAAAGTTACGCTTGTGTTTTATTTGATTTTTCACTAAGTATGGAGTCGCCCAATTCAATATTCACAGCTACGTGTAATTTGATTTCATTATAAAATGATTCACATTAAAAAATTTTGAAATGTATATCTCACATAAAATCGATTCATTAAATATGGATTCAGGGGGGGGGGCAATCGCCCCCCCTCTAAAATACGCCCCTGCGATGGACTTGTTTTATTTTGTGTACTTTATGGTCATTTTATTTTTATAATGTAAATAAATGCATATTATTATGCATATTTTAATGATTTTAGAAGCATATTTGCATGCATATTTATGTATTTTATAGAGCTATAAGTCCCCAAGCCAAATTATAACTATTAAATACAATTATTACTCGGTATCTTTTAATTATTAACGTCTATGATCCAATTTATTTTTACTTTAGTGCGCAATAATATTACCAGAATTCTTAGAAGATGTACTACGGCCACCAATAAATTGCTCCTATTGCATGGGAATGGATTCTATTGAGAAAGTAATTAACTTGTCACCAAAAACATTTGAAAAGCAGTAAGTTAGAATTTAAGACATTCATAACACGGTTGATTTATGAAATATATTTTTTAATACGATATTCATATAACCAATTCCAAAAATAATAAATTATATTTCTATATTTTTGATTATTTATAAGTTATAATATAATGGTATAATAATATTAATATATTACCTTCGAAATAATTTAATTATTCTATACTTTTGAAAATAGTAAATTTAATTATTAAAATATTATGTAATAATATAATAATATATCAGCTGTTATAAATAAGACTTGAATTAGTATACAATTGCATATTTGTTCAATAAAATTAGACATTTGCTTAATAATCATTAAGAATTTTTCAAAACTTTAAACAGAAAAATGTCTAGTCCACAATAATTAAGAGTTGAAAATTAATATGATGAGAATAATAATAATGATTAATTATTATAAAATACTATTATTTATTTATAATATACAAAGTTATATAAATTGTTTGTGGTTAGTTTAACTATAAATCATTTTATGCAGGATTAGGCATATTTTTGTAAAAGTTCCTTTAAATACACTATAGGTATATCATCTAATTGTAATCGTTTTCAATAATTTGACAGAATAAATAAATTAAACTATAACACCATACTCTAATGAGTTTTTACTTTTTCCTTATTTTATACAATTTAACGTGAATCCGAAACGAATCCTGATGCTTTCTAATCAAACATGAATTATATGTTAAATAAAATATCGGTTAATTAAAAATATTCTGATTTTTAAGTGATTTAAATTAGATGTTAAAGTAGTGTTTATTGTGTATTAATATTTTTGATTGTATTTGTTGAATATTTGTAGCTATGCTTACACTGGACGACCGGTAGTGGCCGTCGACGCATCAAATAACAAAAAATCTGGAGATTTTGGATTTAGACTTTTCAAAAACCTATCTGATTCCAAACTGTTGAAAGCATGTCAGTTTTTTCCATACAAAACAGAATTCAACACGCTCGAAGAAGCTCTAGACATGGATGAACAGAGGGCTGTAATGGCACCTGGCTATGCACCATGGTACATAGGATGGTGAGTCACAGATAATAAATATGTCTGATTAAAAGAAATATTGTAAAATATTTCTATAAAGGACATTATGATTAAAAATATACGCTTAAGTCTAAGATTTTTAAGATGAAGATTTTAAAAATAAAGTGATTATATATATTGTAATGATATACGTTTATAACTAATAGAAAAAGAAATATTACGGTTTAACCTTTAAAACGTATACATTTGTAGGTACCTACTAAAGATGTGTTGATTCGTAACTATTTAATAACTATAAAACTATAATCATCATTTTTTCATTAGAAGACTAGATTAAATACGTCATTGAGACATTTTTCCGTTATACCAAATTATTGCAATATTTTTTACATTATAAACAAAGTATAGAATTAAAATAAAAACACTAAAACATGAAAATAAAGATAATTAAATTAAAACATATAAATTATAATTTTTAAAACAAAATATGATACAACAATTGTAAAAAAATATGATTCACTATTAATTACTTCTACAAGCTCTTCATCCATATCTTTTGTAAGGTTGTCTACTAAAACATACATAACTAATTCTAATTTACTATGTAATTAAAAAGTAATTAAAAATATTATTAATGTTGTTTGAATGTTTATTATAAATATTGTCTGGTAAATTTTTTTGAATTATTATTAAAAGTTAAAATACTCCAATAGATATAATATTTTTGGGCGGTACTCTTTTCACCCAAGAATATTATATAGTTCTCTTCGACCATATTTTTATAATACACACTTTGGGAAATACTATATCTACATCATAAATTTACAATATCTTAATCTTATATTTATAATATTAGGAAACTATAAGTATATAATTTCTAAAATGGTCCGCCATCTAAATATATCTATCCCAGTGTGGTTCGTTTATTATTTTATAAAGATAAGATAATAATTGTATACTAGCCGTAATAATATTTGATAATTGGACAACTGCTTCAGTGCACTTTCGTTTTACTTTTCAGTCGAAGTTTTCGAGTGCGTTTTTCGACAGTAATTTTGTTTTAAATATTGTTGAAGATTTTTCTATTTTTGTAAATTTAAGTAAAATCCTGGAATTCAAAATCATAAAAAGTAAAAGAGGATATCGTATGGCGGTGTATAATAATTTTAAATATAACTTTGGATCGACAAGTAAAAAATACGGCTCTACTCGTTGGAGATGTGTTACGAGAACTAGTAGTGTACTAATATACTCAGACAAGAATGATTTTTTTCTTTCAACAACTGGAGACCATAATCACATATCTTACGATCTAACAAATATTCATCGTCAAATTGATTTATATTTTTGATAAAAACTTACATACATTATATAAAAATTATATTAATGTACAAAAACACATTACATTTTTGGAGAGTAATAGAAACAGCCTCCTCGTGATACTCTTTGGGTAATGCTAAATGGCTTTATAAAACTAATTTACACAAATAAATAATTTAAATATGACAAACGTATTATAATGTTAAACAAAAATAATTTAAAGTCAGTGTTACCCAAAGTGTGTATTAAAAAAATGTGGTTGAAAAGTGCTATATAATATTATTGGGCAAAAAGGGGAAGTAGATTTAAAATATTTGGGCTAAAAGAGACGTGAGCGAAAGGCGAAAGGCGAAAGGTCATTTTTGGGCGAACAATGTTGCCCAATATTTTAAGACATTTTCTTTTAAATACTACAGATATTGAGCATTTTACCCGTTACTAATTCGGATAAACGGGTATATTCAAAATCAAATATTGTGAAAAGTAAATTTAGAAGTATCATGGCCCAGACCATTTGGTATAATTTATTTTACTTTTCACAGAAAAAGAAATGGCCTCTATATTGAAGTTAGTTATTAATGTGTTTAATAATTTAAGTAATATACAAATGTTATTATGAATGAATAATTATTGGGTTAGAATATTAAGTAAGAAATTTAAGTAATATTTATTTGTATATTATAATTTATTAAAATACGTATATGTCTTGTTAAGAGAGGACATAAGTTAAGAAGAAAAAGGCCCAAAAATACTGTAGGCACCCCCCAAATTGAAATTTGCACACGTCTATACTTGCACCTAATTAATCGTTTTGATCGTGTTTCAGGAGTAACTGCGAAACCAAATCGATCAATCACCTGAAAAAACATATAACCCTACCAAATTTTTTACCGACCCTATCGGACAGCAAGCAAACCCTTTGGATTTTTATGGGAACGCCTGGACACGGAGCTCCCATGCACGTAAGTAATGATTTGTATAAACTAGACTTTTACCGATTCATAAATTCAACCTTACATTTACACACATTAATTAATTTAATGTGATTTGTTTACGTTATCGAAAGTGACGACAGAAAGAAAAAAATTTTCAAGTAGGCGAGGGATTGAAGCAAATGTTTTGAATTTCGGGAATTCCTTTTCTTGTTTGTATTCAATAACTCAATAAATGCGACGGTTAGTCGTCATGCAGAAAAAAAATTAAACGGAACGCTGTGAAATGTTTCGTAAGCTTCATACACGTGACCTATTCAACGAGGATTGTGTAGAATAATCAATCGTTTCCTGTTAGTAGAAATAATATAAGAAAATCGTATAAATATTTATTGATTACACACATAAAACTAACAATCACAAAGTAATGTGCAACGGACACGATGAGTCACCAGTTTGTAACCCTTCCCTCTGCCCAGAAATGCCGTCGGTTGCGGTTACGGTTTACAAACCTACAATTATCTCGGATCTATCATAATATCTAACGGCAACTGTGCCTACCAAGCGCGTAATTGAAAAATTTCTTTTAGGAGTGCCAACAATTTTGGGCCCTAGTATAATTTGTTTCCAAGAAGAAACTGGATGATTTTATATAAGTCACTATTTTACACTAGTTCTCGTTTAATATTATATCTAACTATTATGAATAAACCTTATATTTAACTTTTAGATAACGTTTTCTACGAATATAAAATTAATTATAATAATACATCTATGTGTATGTTATATGATATTCAAAATCATAATAAATTGTGTTATTAAACAGTTATTACATTTATCGTGCATAAGCTACGAGCGTAGCATGTTTTTGATAATCAGTGAAAAAAATTTGTGTATACATTTGGGGAGAGGGGCAACCCTGGAACATAGTGAATCCAAAGGGGATTTACTCGGGCCACTTCTGGCTACGTGCCACTGGCTCTTGCACATTTCACCGTGGATTATTACCGAAAACTGTATCCACAACTTCAGTGTTACTATTTTAAGACATGTCGCACATTGTCTTAGATTAAAGTTCGAACTAAACACCGATGAGATCACTTCGAAGTTGACTGATTTTTTCTTCTTCGTGAACTGTTTAGTAGAATATTGATTGTTGAAATTTTGTTTAAATATATATATAAAAAAAAAAAAAAAATCACAACCAATTGTTAAAATGTCGTCGTTCCGTTTGTTCGAATCGCACGCGCAACCGCAGGTGGACAAGGTGGGACACCCGTCGTGGCAAACGCAAATCAGTGGATACAAAAAGTGGACTTTGCGCACGCCGGTCGAATGTTTGTTCACGTGCAGACGGCAGTTTGAGGTGCTCATGGAACCGGGCTCAACGAGTGAGTACTGCACGGCTAGAGACGACGGGCTTACACGAGTCAGTTGCAATTGACATTATGACCGTTTCATCAAAACCGAACAAGTTATGAACGCGTAAACACCGGTTTCGGCATGATTTAAATTATAGTTTCTAACCGTTTAGAAACTATTTCTACTTTGCTCAATCTATAATTATCAGTAAGGCTCGGGACTTATAGCACTTAAAATCATTAAATTAAGCGCTTATAAAAGCACTTAAAAACATTATTATAAGCACTCAAACAAGCATTTAAAAAAACTTAAATTAAAACAAAAGTATTCAATTAAAATAATGACCCAAAATAGAAAAAAATTAACAACAATTTCTATTTTTTCTTTTTTACATGAACATAGTAGTAGATTAACTTTTTAACTGTGCTGAATACATACATAATAATAAATAATACGTAATAATTATATTAGTTATCAGTCGAATACGTAATGTAAAAGGGAAAATGCTTAAGTCCATGAACTTGCGTTGTTTTTTTTTTTTATACTGATTATTTACAGTCATCGTACAATTTTTTTTTAAATAGTTATAATTTACAACCATTAAAAAAAATATAAATTATATATATTTATAACTTACAAATAATACGTTCTATCATTTGTTAACACATCTGCTGCATTAACTCAATTTGTGATATTTTGTGACTTAAATCATTTTTCAAATAGGTGGTTTAATTAAAGATTACAAAAATATTAAAACAAAAAAATATTGTCTATAATATAATTTTTAATTAAAAAATTAAAAAATAAATAAATCTTTACACATTTTAAAAAAAGTCTAACTTTGACTTTCGAGATATTTTGCCTTATTTTTTATAGATTTTCCGAGAAATTTTCTGAAAAATAAAATGTAAACGATATTTAATAATAGTTGAAAAATCTGAGTTAGATCAGCGGCATACGTGATCGTTTATAATGAAGCAGAGATATGCAGAAAAGTAAAAATCGTCAAAAAAAGCAAAAAAAAGTACTTTCACATTTCATAATTGAATGTGTCATAACATGACACACACACTTCCATATCATTCTGCCATATTTTATGTCAAATCTTAAAAATAAGCAAATGCAATAAGTCCCGAGCCCTGATGATCAGTATCGCGTCATGAATGGCGAGCAAAACGTGTGTGAACCTCATGCCGGTATCGATAGTTCATTAATTTTATACATTTTCATATTTTTTTCATTTCGAGAACACATTGTAACTAAATTAGAGTAATTCACGATTGCAGTACTTATAAATTATAAAACTACTGCCCTACCCTAAATTTTTTATTAAAATGATTTTTAAGTAGCATGATGACTTTATTGAACCACTTTCGATATTAATTTTAATTAACATACCTAATGTTAGCACCAAATGTATCGCTTCTTAAAATCTATTTCCTAATCCACCATCTTTGTTTCTTCTTATTTTTAAATTTAGTTTGATATACTTTGATATTTTGATATCATTTTTTTTTTCATTTGATATTTGACAACATATTAACATAATACTAGATCGTATTAAAGATTTTTGTGAATTCGTCATCGAAAATAATTACAATTGGCAAAAAGAGACGTGAGCACTTACAGAAAGGAAATACACTAATAAGTTAGTAGGTACTATTTATTAGGAATTCGCAGTCAACTGATTTCATTTATAATGAACCGTGTGAACAATTTGTTCAATGAAAAGCATCGTCAGTTACAAATGAAACAGTCATAATGAACATTTTAACTGATACGTGTGAACCAGCCTTAAGGAAAAATGACGCAAGTTGAAAAAATAAATAAACGAATTAAAAATATGAAATATGCGGTCATATTACTAGATACGCGTGATAGTCTTATACGTTTTTCACGTGTAAAAATTCTATAACTATGAAAAAGTATCTAAATATTAGTACTCTATGGTAATAAAAAAAAAAGGTCAATTTTGTAATTAGAAGGAAAAATAATTGACGCTTAAAGTCTGCAAGGTGCATTTATGATCAGATATAATCTGTCGTCGCGATCATTTTAGTCGAATGTGGAAGTAATAAGTTAGGACACGACATGTCGCGATGATAAAATTTTCTTCGACCCGTTATTTAAAACAGAAATGTGGTCTCTTTTCTGTTCAGTTTAAAATCTGTTCAAGTGTATACATAATAAAATCAATTTCAAACCCATTATATTTACACAGTGTAATGATTTATTATATTATTTTATTTACCAGGGTTTTTTTTAATTTTGGTCAATACCTATTTTTCTCCACATATAGTGCAGAGAAATCTAGACATAGTCTTTTAACATTTTTTTTTTTTTTCAATCAGAATTTGCTACATTGTATAATATAGGATTATTTTTTCCCTCTTGACCCAAAATATAATTTTCTAATGGTGTAAATACCTACTAATTTCGACATGGTGTCGCGCGTATACTGCTCTTGCAACAATAGTGTTGTCGGCCGCGACGACCTGTCGCGTCTTGCAGACCAGATTATATGATTTCGGTACAGATATTAACCACATGTCGCACCTTATAGACTAGTACCTTCAGTAAAACAACACCATCACAATTTGTCTAGAAAAATTTACATACGTCTTGTTTCAATAACGTCGTTTTTACTAAACACCCACTCAAATTTATTTAACAGCATTGTTGTTTAGAAAATTAGACATCATTAAGGCCGTATCTAATAATTATTTAAATTTAAATGACCGACAATGTCTGGTATTTCGGTATCAATTGTAACATTACGCGTATTATGTATGCTTCATTCAGGTTTCAATTTTAATTTTTGTTAATTTAGAAAATTAATTCACACTAAATGAGTGAATTTGTTTATGACCTAAACATAAATGTTATGCAGTATTACATTTCCGTTAAGTTAACAATAGTAAACAATTAATAACGTACTCAGAATAAATATTAAAATCCGAGTGTCTTGGTAAAGTAAAAATTTAAAAGTATTTTCAACCTGCATTCATGAGATACATTACCTTATTTTATTTTGAAAACATGTTTGTGAAAATACTACTAAAATGAATTAATAAACTTAAAAGTGCATTTGTTTCAAAATAACTCTGTTAGTAACCCACCTAATAGATTTTGAAACCCACGTAGGTTTAGACTTTTTCATGGAACCAGTAGCTCGGGTCATTTCTGAATTCGTTTTATCTGATATAGCGAATGCAGATTTATAAAATATTATAATATTTATCACCATTTTCAGCAGACAATTAGTCGTTTTCCCATGTGACTATTTGTTTATGTTTCTGTTGTAAGTAGAGCTTTAACTTATTAATTAATTAAATTAATAAAACTTGATATTTATTAATATTAATTAATTTTATTAATTTATATTAATAATAATATTTATGAGAAAATATGTATTAATTATTAATTCAATCCAATTTACGTAATGAAATAAATATTTAAAATTATTTTAGTTATTATGGACACCAACATTTGGTATCATAAAACGGAAACCATCGGACAAGATATCAGTGTAACAGTGGGAGGCGAATACGATTGAAGTACAAGATACACACAGAGTTTCTTAGTTGCTTAATAATTACAAATCATTCAAGCCCCAAATCAAGTGCTTTTTTTTTATTATTTTAAATAAATATACATACACCAACCATAAGAATAAATCCAAAACGTTTGTTTTATTTTATTCTCATACTTTTCTATATTAAATTTTTGATTTAACAAAATTAAATTAAGATTACATAAACGTGTAATATGTTAATTTACAATATTAGATATAAGTGATGATACCCTGTATTTGCTATAAATTTAAAAATATTACATCATATTAACTAAAAATATGTAGAATGAAAATTAAATCATAATATTTTAACCAAAAACCCTGTTATGGTATTTGAAATATATCTAAAAATAATCTCCAGAAAAAATAATATAAGTTTTGAAATAATATATTGCCTTAAATTTGAACTTGAATTTAAGGTGCTGTTAATGAACTACTTCTTCCGCATCCAAATTATATGAACTACATTTCATGTACATATAATTTACTTATTTTTTTAGATAACGGATTGTAAATAATTATTTACAAAAAAAATTTAAACTTAAAACAGCCAACTCATAAAGTCGTGTAATTCAATATATGAATATTATTATTCAACATTATTGCTAAAATGTATAAATTTAACAAATACAATAGAAGTATTATTATAACCTATATATAAGTAGATATGAGAATAAAATTATACAAAAATAATTTTCAGATAAAACAAACTTACATCACTACCATCTCCTAAATGTATGATAATACAAAATTAATAGAAATTTAAATGATAAATGTATTATAAATTCAAATCATTAACGGAATGTTTAAATGGCAGATCTTTTAATAATATAATTTAGATAAATACATATTATAGGTAACCATAATGAAAAATCAGGTCAAAAAAAAAAAAAAAAAAAAAAAAACAATACATTTTAGGTGATTTATGTATGAGGTTTAACCCATTTGTAAGACCCATAGTACTTGAAATTGTGAGCAAGTGAAAGTTCGTCAGCTTCCTCAGGACCACGAGAACCATATCTATTTTAGAACAAAAATCATAAATTCAATTAAGCCATAAAATTCTTTAGAAATATCCAACATACTTGTATAATGCTGGTTCGGGTTGAGTCAATTCAATTTCGTGAAGAAGAGGAGTGAAAATACGCCAAGCCTCAGAGAGTTCATCAGCACGTACAAAATGCATTTGAGAACCACAAAATACATCCAATATTAATCGTTCATAAGCGTCGGGTAACTTGACATTCTAAAAAGAAAAATTTATAATTTTTAGAACATGCATCAAAACATACATTTTTGTTTAGATGACAATAATTAACTTACCTTATAACGATGATTGTAGGTCAAATCAAGTTCGGTTTCTTCCATTTCGAATCCTATACCAGGCCTTTTGGTCATCATTTTAATGTACACGGCTTCGTCTGGTTGAACTCGAATAACGAGTTCGTTTCTTTTTAAAACTCCGCCGAATATATCACCAGGTACATCATGATATTGAATTCGAATCTCAGCTTTACGTTCGTTTAAAGCTATGTAAATAACAATAAAATATACATTCAAAACGTGACAATTATAAAAGTAACACACTTTACCTTTTCCACATTTTAGTATAAAAGGAACGCCATCCCAACGTTCGTTATTAATTTTCAAAACAGCGGACGCAAACGTTGCAGTCTTTGAACCACTTGGCACAGTCTTGTCATCACAATATCCAAATTTCTTATGTTCTTCTGTAGCCTCTTGATCACCAATATACTGTCCTAATATTACGTCCGATATTTTCACGTCAGGTATACACTTAAGAACTTTAACCTAAATAAAACAAATACTAATTATTAAACAACTACAATTCAACATTTTTTAATATCTTTTCAGTAAACCTGACCTTTTCATTTCGTACGTCATCAGGATGTATGGTCGCCGGCTTCTCCATAGCTAACAAACTAAGAATCTGGAGCAAATGGTTTTGCATAACATCTCGGATTATGCCAAAATTATCAAAATACCCACCACGGCCTTCTGTGCCAAACGGTTCTTTAAAAGTAATTTGCACTTGTGCAATATTATCCCTATTCCACCCAGTATTCAATATTCTGTTTCCGAACCTAAACAATTAATATAATTTAGTAAGATGAAAAATTAAACATCTTTACAATTTTGGGTAAAGTTGGGTTAGGTTAGTCGAAAAATATCACTGTAAAAAATAGGAAATCTGAAATAAATTAAATATCCCACCAAATACATTATCATTAATTATTAAAAAAAAAGGCAAAATGTTGGAAGTTGAAAATAAAAATTTTTCTACGTCATTTAATTGAGATGACGTCATGGAATACGGAATAAAAAACAAACTTTAATGAGATTTTTTTTAAAAAAAAATAAATAATTTATGAAATATTATAGTAAGTAATTTTAAGTATTAGTACGTATTTTAAGTTTTTATATTTATATTACTAATAATTTTAAATTTATTTTTATTTTAATAGATCTCGATATCTTGAACTTTTTTTTCCTGTTCCCCTTTGAGATTCGTCATAACGATAGTTATGAGAGTTAGAGTTAGTTATAAGAGTTATTCATTTAGGTGTATATCAAAACGTTGGTCGAAACTTCTTCGTGCATTATTCAATACCTGAGCGTCATGAGATTTTGGACCATTTCTTTTCCTAGGTAATGATCAATACGGTACACTTGATCTTCAGTAAACAACTTGGCCAAATGTTCGCTCAATTGCAATGAACTAGCTGCATCTCGACCAAAAGGCTTTTCGACGATAACACGAGTCCAACCTCTATAAAACAATTTTATTAACAATCTCATCACTTGTTATATATTTAGATATATCTACAATTATACTAACTTATGATCCATGCATGTTTCGTAGATATGAGTAGTAGTTACTTCGAACAACGAAGGTGGTATTGCTAAATAGAATAACCTATTGGAAATCCCGGATATTTCATGTTTAGCGAGTTTCGAGTTTAGAGAGCGATAATCAGCGGATTCGCTATAAGATCCAGCAATATAAAAATTATAAGACCAAAATTCTGCTAGGCGTTTTTTCTCATTTTCGTTGCACTTAATAATTAAATCAAACCGTTCAAAAATTAAATTAAAAAAAAAATAATTTCGTAAACATCGGTAAATTTCTTTTTTTTGCGTACTTTTAAATATGGAGCAACGTTACTTTTCAGTTGTTCCATGGTTAGTTTAGATCGTGAATATCCATAAATAAATGTCTTTTCTGGAATCAGTTTGTCACGAAATAACATCCAAAGAGTAGGATAGATTTTCTTTTTTGCTAAATCTCCCTGTAATGTAAAATAAGATTATAACAAGACCAATTTAACAGAAACAGAAATAATATGTTACCGAAGCGCCCATCACGACGATAAGATGCGTTATGTTTTGATCATAGTGGGCACCTTCTACGTCCATTTGGGGAGAATTTAAGGACGTCCTTATTAGACGAAGAGCTTCTTCTAGAGTACCTATATATTAAATATTTAATTAAAAACAAAAGCAGCAATAATTTTTCTGATTTTTGTTATGTTAAGATTTTACAGTACTACTACTTTCAAAGGGTATCAACCCGTTTATAATAATAATAATAATAATAAATAATAAATAATTAATATAAAGTAGTAGGTTAAAATAAAAGTTTTTTAAAAAAACCACACAAATTATTTATAAATGTTATAGTAGTATAACAGATATAAATGACTATATTAAAAGATAACTATGAATATATATATATATATATATATATATACTATGGATATATTAAATACGAACTATAGTTAAACATAGTAAAATGTAAAATACAAATAAATTTAGCTTTAAAACTATAGGTATTATAAACAAAAACCAAATATTCATTACTATTCATAATAATGCATAATACAGTTACGGTTTTTAATACATTATATGTGATATATTATCATATACGAGGTTCGTAGGTTCTAACACAGTAATTAAATGTATTGCTTTATTTGTTCAAGTCCATGATTACGTTAAGGAATGAATCATAAAACATTTAAATTTCATACATAAGATTTTTTTAATGAATAAAAAATTAGATACATATAATTCTTATAAAGTTCATGGATATTTTATACAATGTGATCACGATTTCAGATATCACTAAATATCTCAGCTGGGTGATCTTATATTGAAATTAATATTTTGGAGGGCTTAGGAGGTATTGAAATACACATTTTTTACAATTTTTTCATTTTTAACCTTAATTTTTTTTTCAAACAATTTTTGTATAAAAGTTTTTTTTATTTTTAAAATAAACCAAATAAAATTAAATCAAATTTTTTAAGTCGTGCATAGTTGGTTTTTACGACACTTTTATTTAAAGTAGAACATTTTTAAAAATACTAACAAATAATTGAACTTTATTTTTAGTACGTGATATTTTTGTAGTTAAAATAATAATAAACAAATTATTTATAGCAAATTAATTGGACAAATTCCTCGCGAAGTTGGGGTTTCTTATGGTTTTTTCCAAAAAAAAAAAATCTAAAAATAAATAAAATTCACCCAATTGTTTACAATATAAAGTAGATTTTGTGTGCAAAAGATTCTGTTATAAGTTAGAATTTATCTTTTTACTATTAATTACATTCCTTGAACAAATGAATCACAAATTACTAACAATGATAAAATGAACCAACTAAATACTGAATATGAAACGAACCCCACTAGTCACGTGAAACTAATTTTCACACGGTTTGGGAATAAAATGGTGGGAACTTATCAATAACAAGTTTGCAGGACTGTACTTTTATGATAGAAAGCTGAAAGGTAGATGAAACTACCAATAATGTGTTAGATGATGTTCCATTAGACACGCAACAGCATGTCGACAACATTACAATATGTTCTTATAACAAGATAACGAACTAGCCCATTCAATAGTTGTAGGACAATATTTAGATAAATTGTTTCCAAAACGCTGAAGACGTACTAAAGACGTTGTTCCTTGACCAGCACGGTCCCCAGATTTTAATTTAATACATTTTTTTTTTTTTATGGGGACTTTTAAAAACTGCAGTTTACGCAGATTCACCTGTCAGTCTCCAGGACATAAAAAAAAAATGCAGACAGAATGACGTTCTTAAAGGGCCTCACCACCACGTCTTTTATTAACAAAAACTACTATTTCTAATTTCAATACTACGTGTCGACAATTATTACGATTTTCATTCTGAAAAAATATAAGAATTCTCCATAATATGTACAAGGGAACAATCGAGCCACATTTTAAATTTTTTTAATTTGAATTGCAATAAATATTGTAGAAAATTCAAAAAAATACAGAATTTCAAGCTTAAATATTTAATTAACTAAATACAATTTTTAAAATGTGCCTCGATCGATCCTTCGTATATGTTGTGGAAAAAAAGAATGTTTTTTTCAGAATGCAAATCGAGATAATCGTTGCAACATATTTTTTGAATTAGAATCGTATAGAATGAAAAGTAAACATTTTTTCGCGATCTCTATTAAAGATCTGACATGTGCGTACGAGAGCCCTCCGTACCGCTATCACGCCGCGTCAAGATAATGAACCTATACAGTGTAATATAATTAGATACGTTATTTCGTAGTATCCTATAATAATGTTAGCAAATAGTTATATTTCCGTGACCTAATCATAATATTATATACCTGGGCGACTGTTAAGTCCACTAGAATAAAAAGGTAATAAAAGGTCTATTGTAAACTCCGCCAGTTTTTTTTGTGTTGTGCCTGTGTATCCTTTCATAAAATCTAAGAAATTAATTTTATAAAAGTCAACCGAATGTTCATATTTTTAGTAAAGTTCTTACAGCATTTCAAACCCATACTATGCAGTGCAATAACGGAACATTTCGTTATTATAACCTTTACCGATTATGATTATCAGAGTTCGTATTTTGTAGGAATTTTTTTTTTCCTATTAGGCTAAAACGAAGCAATGTAAGATTTAAACTGAATTTGTTGTTTTCCCTTTTATACCTACTTTTTTTTTTATATTACAGCCTTTACGTTAGGTTCCATGTATTTTTGTCGTATAGGTAACCTAGATTCAACGATTTATATATTTTATACTCTAACAGACAAGATGAATTTTGCCTATTGATATGATGACTAAATTTGAATACCTAAACAAAAATAATACAAATTACTTTGCTCTGCAAACTATTTACAGCTTTTTTTTTATTATTATTAATTACTGTTATACATAAAAAAACATGAGTACTTAATTTTAGATAAACTATAATTCAACAAAAATATGGTTAACTGCGATAACGATTACGATGAACGAGTACCTGGATGATGATACGGAAAGAAGTGGTACCCGCATTAACACCACACACACTAATAATCATTTACAACTAATACATAGATCTCAGGTGGTGACGATGAGATTAGAAATTGCCTAAATGTTGTTCCTTAAATAAATGCTATAGCGAGGCCCCTTAAAAAAAACCAAATCAAAAGGAATACGTCAATCGATATTTTGATATGTTTAAAAAAAACATAACGGGAACAATTTTTACAATTAGATACATTTATTAAATATAATGTATATTTTTGTGTTACAAATGACTGTTATTATTATTATAATTAGTTAGTTATTATTTTGATTACAAAAAAATCACTAAATATAAAATTCAAATATTTGACACTATTATTTAGTACACTACTATTAAGTGCTTTAAGTAAAACTTTGTAAAAAAAATCAAATATGAAAAACTTTGAATTTTAATTTACTTCAATTTGGTCAATTTTAAAAATAGAAAAATATTACAAAAATAGATATGAAAAAAAAAAACTAGCAAATTTAATAATTTTAAATAACAGTGCATTTTGATATGCTAATTATAAATTTATAATGTGTACATACCTATGTAATTATCTTTTTTAACAATTTAATAGATAAATTATATCTTATCAAAAATACCAAATAATGCAAAACTTTAATGATTAATAAATAATTATCAACAATTTATTTGAATTATAATCTATTTCGACAAAATAAATTTGAGTCTCTATTTTGAATTCTTAAAAGAAACAGTTATAAAATATTTGAATTCAAAATGCATTTATAATAATTTAAGATACTAAATTGAAAAATTTACATCAAGGAATTATAAACTAAACATTTATAATATTTTCTGAGTTTCCAGACTTCATATTTATAAATGTAATATAATGTAATGATAAGTCCATAAAACAAAAATTGTGTTATACTATTAAATTTACGTATTTTGAAGAAATATAAAAATTACTTTTAACCAGATATAGTCTAATAAATATTCAATTGTATATAAAATTTTAATAATTTACTTTATTTAATTGGGTACAATGTACATTTGAATTGATTAATTCAATTACTACTGAAATTTCCTGGTTAAATATAGATATATCTGGATAAAATTAACACATGGAATACCTTTTTTAATATTAAGTAAGTATCATAAGTAAAATATTATATTATAATAACTAATTGGAAATAAAAATAACTAATACTAGTTCACTGATATAAAAATAATAAAATATAATTTATTTTATAACTGTTATAAATGATAATATGATCAAACTATTTTTTTAATTAAATACACTTTTAATTGTTTAAATACTTATTAAAAAATTCATAGAAGTTGTTTTATATACTATATACCTATATATATGTGTGCATATGTGTTAGATTATTTCAACAATTTGAAGGTAACGTTTTTATAAAACAAGTATAAAATAACATATATTTTAATTTTACAATTGTAGCATTTTAATTTGAGGTAAATTAACTGGTAAAATAAAAATGCTATTTCTTTATTCTGGGCCCCCACACAAGTCTTCTCAGTGGGGCCCAGTATTTCATTGTATGAAACCAAAATTAAATAAATAAATAATAAATCAACTAATCAAAATTATTAGCAGTACCTCGATCCAAATCAAAACTTTATGTTGTTAATTTTAAGATTAAAATTTGGACACTTACAGATTTTTACCACTGATGTTTCCAATTTGAAGTCAATTTGAGTGGTTCGATAATAAAATATAAAATTAACTATAGAATAATATAGATATATTATAATAGTACAATATATTATAATATTATAATAATACAAATTATTGAGCTAAAGGTAAAAATAAAAAATCATTAGCTATAAATTAAAAATATTTAATTTTCCTAAAACTAATCATATTTGAATGGTTTGGAACCTCTGCTTTTAGAAATAATTATAAATTAGTAAGACCTTTTTTATAATGTGAAGGAAAATTCAATAAACTGGTATTTAGACGATTAATGATTTATAATTGTTTAGTTAAAGCTAGTATTCTTATGCTGAGTTACTAAGTATTAGAACATTGATCATTTTAAATATAAATTTACATATTTGTAAAAATCTAAAGATTCAACTAAATCAATTTTCTTTATAAATGTATAAAATTAAGAAATATGATTAAATATTTTTACGAATTTTAATGATTTGTTTTTTTCTAATTTTTTTTTTTTTCAAGGTATCTCATTAAGTATATAATACTATTTTATATTAACCTTTGCTTATAATCCAGTCTTATCATTTGAAAAATACTTCTTTAAATAGCTAACATGATATAAAAGTATTGAGCAGATAGAATATTTTATCCAGGTTACAATATATATAAATTTTTAGAATTAAAGACTGAAACCTTTTACATTAGAATTGTATTTTAAATGCAATAATTTATCATTTGTTTTAATATTAAAATAGCATGTTATTGTGCCAAGGTACTTGTATTCTTATTATTATTCAATATAAATAAATATTTTTATAAAACTTAACATAATTTGATATGTTTAATTTAACTTAATAAAATCTCCGATAAAAACCTAAAACTTAATAACTAAAAAAACATATTTGAAATTTTTAACTTTCTTAATACCAAATTATGATAATAAAAGATTTGATTATTCTTTTGTACATAATAAAGGAACATTTATATTAATTTGATAATAGGTAATAAACTATTAACAGAGTATTTAACTTTTTAATAATAAAATTACAATTGCATCAATGTATAAAAAAAAAAAGTAAGGAAAAACTATAGTAATTTGACAAATTATTTATTATATAGGTTTTTATATATTTGTAATTAATACATTTATAAATTGTATAGTAAATATAGTTTTTGATACATCAAAATCTATATGAATTCAAAAAGAAAGTATGATAAACAATAATGGTAAAATATATTATGAATAAAAAGCATTTTATAACAAACTGTAGTTTAGTGGTCATAAGATTGTAACTAAATATAGAACATTACCTTTGTTTGATGAGATCCTTAATTTTCCTTTAAATGAATATTAAACAATTTATTTATTTGTAGCCACTAGGTACCTACTCAATAATAGAATTATAAATAGGCAAATATGAGTAAAATTAAAACTATGAATTCTGTTAATATAAAATGTAGAAATAGTTTACTATGTTAACTTGTGCATAATATCAAAGTATATTTCTGAACATCATTGAAAGTCATACTTCATTATATAAGTTAAATTAAAAAAAGCACTTTATCCTAGATAAGATAATTTTTTTAAATATTTACTTTTGTAAATACTTGTCTACAATACTATAAATCTTAAAAAAAAAATTACAGAGTTCTAAACTATAGTTACAATGCAAATACATTTTTACTGCAACGTTGGAAAGCAGACAAAATCTCTTCAGATAACATGTCAAGTAAAAATACTTTGTATTATATACTAATAAATGTATAATTTTGTTTTTTGCATAAGCCTTTAAGAAATAAGTTAATTCTATGTATTACTTGTTTTTTTCTATATTAACACAACTAATTAATTTCTTTATTTCCAATTTTTAATTTAATTATCTTTAATACAAGCTTAACATTCAATTTTATAGATTAATTATAAACTATACTAATAATAATATTTTATAGAAAAATCATTAAATTTCTCTTCAAATTACCTTTATACTAATATATTCTTAATTATGAGATTTACCTAGTTCTTTCCTATTCTTTTTACATAAAAATTCAAAAACAATTAATATATAATACATATTAGATACTGATTAATAGATATATTCTTATTTATAAATAATTAAAGGTGTTCCAATTTAAAGATTTATGTTTACAAGCAGAGACCCCACATCAAATTCTGGGCCCCTGTACCAAAGGTTTGTCCGGGCCCCTTACAAAACTTCCAATTATTAAATTTACCATTAATTAAAAAAAAATCAAGATTCGTAAATATTTTAACAATATTAATGTCTTTATTTTTTATTACAATATTATCTGAAAAAGAAAGAAAAAAAGTATATTTTAATTTATATTTAATACATTTTTTTTTGAAGTTTTAATTTTATTTTATGGGCTTTGAGATCAGCAAATTCAATTATTATATCATCAATAATTATATCATCAAAATGTATTGTCAAAGCCAATACATTTTCCATAGATAAAAGAGCAAGTGAGTTAACACAAACACAATAATTTCTAGGTAATCAATGGTTAACCCGCACCTCAAACTATCAAAATAACTTAATATACCTATATAATAAATATATAAAATTTATTTTATAATATTATTTAATATAAAATAAGTATTTCTATTATAATTTTAAAAATTACAATTTATTTTAACGGGCTTACAGGTCCTTAAAATAGCCAGGCCTCTGTACTTAAGGTTCAGCAGCCCCTTATGGGGGCTCTATTTTCAAGCATTGAATTTAGTGTTTAATAGTTTAAGTCTGTATGCCTAGTTTGATATATATTAAAACTATAAGAATAGTAGTAATAAAGTTACAACTACATAAAAAGCTATGTACTATCATACAAAGCGCTGTTTAATCAAACAATTTAATCACGGTAGACTTACTCATTTTGGACTGGTCGACTAGATCGTAGTGTCCTTTTTCTTTAAAAAACATCGACTAATAGCCACAACCGTTGGACGATTGAGCAACTTCTGCGAAAGCACGATCAGAACGAATGATTTTAGATGATGATCAGGGTGTTTTTTTTTTCTTCCCTTTCGCCGAGCGGTTGTACGTACGTCACGACAAGTGATGCAGTCGCGCGTCAATGGATCGACTGAGCAATGCAAAACGAAAAGAACAACAGTTAAGACGAGAACGAAATCCAAACGAATAAATCGGAACGGGTCGAAGCGATAGTACTACGGACGACGGACACGGGAGACGTGGTAGGACGTGGTGGTGGTAGAGGTGAACAAGGGCAATGCGTCAGAAAGTGAGGAAAAATAAAGAAATGATCGATAATATTAAGTCGGATGTATCGTGGACGACGGTGTCGAGGCGATTGGTACCGGCTCACGCGGCTCGACTATGGCTTACTGGTACTGACCTACTTTTACCGCGTGCAGAGCGGTTCGCTTTGCCACCACCGACGACGGCGACAGAGTCACTCTCGGTTTCGTTTCTTTCCCCCTTCGCCGGCCGACCGGTCAAGTTCAACCGTCGTCGACAAAAAAATCTGTTGGCGCTGTCGGTACTGGTATTGGTGCGGCGGCGAATGTACGGAGACGGCTGCCTGGACGGGAGTTGAGCAGCGATGGCGTGCGATCGTGGACTAAACACCGATTTCGCCCACGGACGGTCGTGTTGCAATAATTATTTATATTCTACGTTCCCCTCCTCGGTCGCACGCCGGAACCTTATCACGGTGCCACGGGCCTAAAGTCCAGAAGCCGGTCGACGGCGCTCGCGTAGCAATATTCCAATCTTATCGCATCGACGCGGACAACAGGAACGCGGATAGGGCCGGACGGTCTCGAGCGAAAAGATTCGCGTTATTATCGTGCCGCCGCGACAATTGCCGTTGTCAATGTTTCCGAAACGTTGCGACTGCGCAATGCCTGCGACACGGTAACGATTTCGCAAAACAGCGGTGTTCGATCACGGTGGCGGCGATCCGACGGGGAAACCGGTATTCGTCGAGGCGATCGTCTTCAACATTATTCCGCGCCGCGCGGGGATGTGCGTGGCGCAGCGATCGGTCGTATTGCGCGTCGCACCGGACATAACCTCCAACCGTCGCCGCGTTATCACGTAGCCGACGATCGGGATTCCGGCGCCAAGAACCGCACGTGCGCCGCAGCCGCGCCATCTGCTAGTCCGCCGAAGAGTTTTCCATAATTTTAACGCTCCAGCGATTTTCCGTTTATCCCCTCTGCTCCTCCCCGCGTTCCCATCGGTCCAATCCGCACGCGGATCTAAATACGATTACTAGGATGCATACCGATTAAAGCCGCCCCGGTATGACGTTTTAGAACGAATCGAGTCCCGGGTCATTTGAAGTGTACTTGGTGCTATAAGAGTCCTGAGCCCAAGGCCGTGGCTAAGGGGGAGGGGGGTGTGCACCGAATGCCAAAAGCTTTTTCATAATCAAAGTAATACTACTGAAAGTTAATCATATTATTTGACTCGTAATGTTTAACACGTTCAACGTTATGGTCTCGACGTGTAGGCGAAATCGTTTACATTGTCTGATCGACGGTATTGATAGCTTATTTTTAGCATTGGTATTTATTTTTTTCCTGAAATAACAACGTCATCAATAACAAATTAACAATAATATACCATTTATACTCAATTATTATTGTTACTTGGTATAATTCATTTTAATAACTTTAATGACGTAAACGAATGTCGACTTGAACCAGTTTTATTTTGAACCCGTCCATATGTCACGATAATGTTCACATCATAGTTCATTAACGCAAAAGTTGTATAGATAGGTACCTAATTATTTTTCATCGGCAACTATTTAAAGGTAAGTTATTTTTTATGCAATCGAATAAATTTGATTTGTTAATTAATTATACCGGTTTAGTATGATACGTTATTGTCTACATGATTTGTTCTACCTATAAAGTTTGAGTTATATTACTTAATTATTTTGGTTGTATTACCTGTAACAGTGTCATCGACATAGAGAAGTTTTTCTGCCCTGAAAAGGTTAAAAATCTGGTTAAGAAATAGAATGAATAAAGAGAGATTAGTTAAATGTACATAATGATGTCGAAATTAAGCCTGATGAAATCATTGACCAGTTTGTCAAGACCAAAAATAGAAAGCTAGAATTAATTCTTTAAATTTGAATTTAATATTTTATTTTTATTATTTTTTGACCTAAGTATTATATACTATTGTGTAGAATGTAAATATATGTAACCTTATTATATTTGTAATTTTTAAATATGTATTTTCATTATTTTGATATTTTTTTATTTTTGCTGTACCAGATTTATAAAATTTGAGTTTTTTTTTAAGTATAAAAATGTTGTCATTGATACCAATTTGTAAGTATCAATTAAAAATTGTGATATTAAAAATTATGTTATTAAATATGAATAGTATCTGATAAATACATTTAAATTACTCCCCCCCCCCCTTGATGAATTTTTGGATCCGCCACTGGTACACATTAAACAAAATCTACATATTCAAGTGCGACAAAAATACTTTACTTTTCTCATCTGGTATATTTTTCGTTTGTACCGAAATCCGACCTCTCTGTACACTGTCCGAGTACTTTGAATAACATAAATACACAATGATTAACAATTTTTCAATACGATCTTACGTAGTCATTCAAACATTTTCCAAATCGACGTTCTGTTTATGATTATCTAGAAATATGAACTTTACTTTTTAATAATAAAATAAAACGTGTATGCACCTGTCTAATCTCTTGTGACTTAATTACATACAGTATTGTTAAGCCGAAAAAAATTGTACGTTACATGTATGAATATGTACGTGATTGCGGACGTAGCAGAATGTAGCTGAATGAAATCTATCAACTTACGAGTAGTGTAGATATAACCAATTAATTTATATTTTATAATAATATTATAAGCATTGTGTACGCGATTATGCAGTAAAATGTGATGAAGGTGAAAAGTACTAAGATACGTTTTCGGTATAATTTTGAATAGGTCACATCACAAACTGTATCATGTAGATATTAAATCGAATCATATACCAATGCCTGCAGAAATTTGTTTGAAACAGAATTCTTTTTTTTTTTTTGTCTCAGATAATTCCGTCCCACATGGAAATTAAAATTGGTCTCGCCATAAATGTACCTATCAGTGGCATGCCGAATATAGGTCTAAATGAAGCCCAGGCATCAAGTTAAAAAGGGGTGGGTGGTTGTTGGATAATAATTTGTAAATCACATAATTATCGTATATATTTAGGTAGAGAAATATTGATTTATTAATTCTGAATAAGATGAATTTAAATATGGGGGCTAATCTAGACTTTGTAATTGGCATTAAAAAAATTTTTTATCTCGGCACGCTACTGGTACCTATTATGGATATTATCTCATTATAATATAAGTACGAAACTTATCTAAACGCAATATATTTTTTCTCGAATAATTTCGTATTCAGAAAATTTTCACCTTGTTTAAAAAATGTGTGCTAAGTGATTACGAAAACATTGAAAATTGGCATCTATATTATAGAAATAGAATCATATTTGTAGTCTAGTACATATTGATTAAAATTCTATGATAACATATGAAACCATTGCATTTGCCTAAAATGACTAATGCCAGTTGGCTAGTACTATAGCCTCTATAGGACTATTATTTAGCGCAATGACATAGGTACTTCTTGTTTAGTGTAATCGGAAACAGATAACTAATATGATTCATGCTATTAGACAAAACTAACAGAACCGCAATTTTATTTTATATTTTTACTTTTAAATTTATTGAATTTAATGAAGTTATTCAAAATAGTGTATTTAATTGTTCATCGATCTTTTTGTGTACCATCGAAAGATAGGTTAGGTTAACTAACTACAACGTGTACACATATCAAACAAGCCCGAACGCTATTATACGAAATACGATCGCAATTAAAACCGCAGTTTGGTAGATGCTTATCGCCATGTTAAGTTTGGTAGGTATCTGTAGGATACAACCATTGATTATAAATACTAGTAAATAGTAAATAGTAGTATAAATAGTATTTATAATAAATGGTACAACCTTCACTGTAAAGATATGGAACTAGTATTGAAAAGTGCCTATAGGTAGGTTTACTACTAGTCTTGTAAAATATTTGAACAAAAGATTTGAATACTATTTTAAATACATTAAAAAAATATATTCAAAAACGTATTTTGAAAATGTTTTTTTAGTATTATTTTTTATTTAAATACTAAATTCAGAAAAAATATATTTGTATGTATAAATAAATTATAACCCTGATTAGTGGTCAATAATAACATTAAATATAGTATGAGCACGAAAAACCCGATAAATGGTGATAGTAAATTACTATAATATTTATTAGTGGTGGGCTGATCCTAGAACCAATATCGGTGGTATCGGTTTATTTTCAAAACCGATATTGGTGGTATCGGTTTATTTTCAAAACCGATATTTGAATCAATACCGCAAAAAAAAAGAACCACCAGCATAAAATACATTAATACCAATATTTTAATCACTAAATATCGATAGTACTGTGGTAGGCCACAGTAAAATAATTCAATGCTAATATTATGTCATATCGGTTTTATCGGTTTGTGGTATCGGATTAATTTTAATATCGGTTCATGGTTTTGCCAAAGAGTTGATTTTTTTATGTAATATATTAAAAATCAACTTAGTTTTTACTTGTGATTATAATATCGGGTATCTGTTTTATATCGGCAGTATATTAGGTGTCGGTAAAAAGTGATATCGGCCCATCCTTAATATTTATACTGCAATATCTCCCCTCTATCATTAAAACCGATTGGATAAAAAATAATAAAAGAAAAATAGTTATTTATCAGTTTAAAAAGAAGTTACTAAATTTTAATGTGCCACTATAGAAGGTGACTATACGCTAGAAGTTTATTATAATAAAAATTATTCTGATGTATTCAATAATTTTTTTTCTAATTAATTTTACAAAACAAATGTCAATAATTTTGTAAAAAATTAAATTTTGATAAATATATATATAAACATTTACAGTCGTTTAGTATTTCAATTAAAATTGTTTTTCCTTATTATTATTGTTGGACAGTGTAGGTAAAACGGAGGGGGGATAGACCCCCTCATAATCTTTTTTAAATATTTATATTTCATCTATATTATACATAATATAATATAGGTATTCATTTATTTTCTATTTAAAAAAATAAATAAACTGTACTTATTAGTTATTATACAGTCTCTAGGCTGGAATAAAATTAACAGTTCAAACATAAAACACTAAAATATTAATTGAAACAAACTTTTTAGGTTTTTTTCATTTCTTTTATAGTTAAATTATAAGAATGTATGCAATTTAAATTTAGTATTTAATGCTTAACATAATATATTATATTATTATACGAGTTATGTAATTATAATATTTTAGAGTCGTCTCAATGGTTTAGCCACTATGGCTGTTCATCCGTGGGGTTGTCAATATAACTGCAGACGAAATACTGGACGAATTGGCGAAAAAACCAGAAAAATAGATTTAATAATATAAATATCATTAATAATAATTAATAATATCTTTAATATATAATTATCATGTTTAAAAATAAAGATTTTTATATATAGTGTTTGTTAAAAAATCAGCTACATCCCCCCCATGACAAAATATTTGACCTCCACTATTGTTGAAAAATCATGAGAAATTATGTGTACTATTTTCATCTGTTGCACAATTATAATAAGTATTTCCATATAGTATAGATACATACATATTTTACTCGTTTTATAATCATGTTCAATGTCTTTAATTTTTTTTAGAAGCGTAGAACTAATGATTATCGAATTGAGCAAATCTCTCATGAGTAGGGCTCGGGAATTTATGCATTTGTATATTTGTTCAGGAAGTAAATAGAATAAATTTGATATGGTACAAATTTGTATTATGGTGTTTGGAGTTGAAGTTTAAAAGTTTATTGTGCATATTTTTAATTTTTTTTCTTCAATTTCATATTTTTGAGATTTATTGATTTAAACTGCATATTTTGAAATAAT